GACTTTTGGAGTACCTGCAGCATAAGGAGAACTCGAAATTCTAGTCAAGGGATATAGTTATAGCAAAAACGATCGGGTTAGGTCGCATCAACAATGCCAATAGCAAAAATAGGTTTGATCTTCAAAATTAATTGTACATTAAGGTAAGCGACAAAAACCTTCATTTACATTGGCATGCACCATAATATTCGTTTGTTCATCTGCAGATGCAGGTAGCAGCTTAATTATAGCCCACTGAACCGTAATATTGAACCGTAATATTGATTGATGATACACCGGTCAGATTGAATCTGGAAACAATCAAACAAATGACATGCAAGCAATCAAATTAAAGCTAGAAGCTGGAAGTGAATAGAATCTGTTATCAAATGTAATAATTGCACTTTCTACGGATTCGATTATACAATTATAACTTTACTTGGCTAGCGAATCACGTGATGTTTCTTGGATTATCACCATGGTAACTGGGAGGTGTTCACTGTTCAAACTCAAAAGATTTACTTTACAAACTGAGGTCTATGTTTTAATGGATAATTGAGGCTTAAATGGATAATTGAGGCTTAAATAGTAGGTATGATAAAATGTAAGATTTACACAAATGGTTTCTTGTTATTATACGCAAATCGTTCAGTACACACTGAGTGTAAGCGGATGTATGGGAGTTGGAAAACACCTTAGAAAAAATTATTAACTTAACACAGCAGACTTATATTTAGTTGTATCAGATCTGTTACTATGGAAACGTCCGAGGGGCTAGTTATAGAATTCAACTTGGAAGTTTAGTCACAGTTCATTATTTGGTAAAATGAACAGGGACTCCATGTTATGCCGTTAAATAACATTAATGCCACTGGATTACAAGTGTGTCACGTAATTTCTAGCCAATGATTTAGATTATTATTATCATACGATATTTGGAGTACCTGCAGCATAAGGAGAACTCGAAATTCTAGTCAAGGGATATAGTTATAGCAAAAACGATCGGGTTAGGTCGCATCAACAATGCCAGTAGCAAAAATAGGTTTGATCTTCAAAATTAATTGTACATTAACTCATTAAGGTAAGCGACAAAAACCTTCATTTACATTGGCATGCACCATAATATTCGTTTGTTCATCTGCAGATGCAGGTAGCAGCTTAATTATAGCCCACTGAACCGTAATATTGAACCGTAATATTGATTGATGATACACCGGTCAGATTGAATCTGGAAACAATCAAACAAATGACATGCAAGCAATCAAATTAAAGCTAGAAGCTGGAAGTGAATAGAATCTGTTATCAAATGTAATAATTGCACTTTCTACGGATTCGATTATACAATTATAACTTTACTTGGCTAGCGAATCACGTGATGTTTCTTGGATTATCACCATGGTAACTGGGAGGTGTTCACTGTTCAAACTCAAAAGATTTACTTTACAAACTGAGGTCTATGTTTTAATGGATAATTGAGGCTTAAATGGATAATTGAGGCTTAAATAGTAGGTATGATAAAATGTAAGATTTACACAAATGGTTTCTTGTTATTATACGCAAATCGTTCAGTACACACTGAGTGTAAGCGGATGTATGGGAGTTGGAAAACACCTTAGAAAAAATTATTAACTTAACACAGCAGACTTATATTTAGTTGTATCAGATCTGTTATTATGGAAACGTCCGAGGGGCTAGTTATAGAATTCAACTTGGAAGTTTAGTCACAGTTCATTATTTGGTAAAATGAACAGGGACTCCATGTTATGCCGTTAAATAACATTAATGCCACTGGATTACAAGTGTGTCACGTAATTTCTAGCCAATGATTTAGATTATTATTATCATACGATATTTGGAGTACCTGCAGCATAAGGAGAACTCGAAATTCTAGTCAAGGGATATAGTTATAGCAAAAACGATCGGGTTAGGTCGCATCAACAATGCCAGTAGCAAAAATAGGTTTGATCTTCAAAATTAATTGTACATTAACTCATTAAGGTAAGCGACAAAAACCTTCATTTACATTGGCATGCACCATAATATTCGTTTGTTCATCTGCAGATGCAGATGCAGGTAACAGCTTAATTATAGCCCACTAAACTGTAATATTGAACCGTAATATTGATTGATGATACACCGGTCAGATTTAATCTGGAAACAATCAAACAAATGACATGCAAGCGATCAAATTAAAGTTAGAAGCTGGAAGTGAATAGAATCTGTTATCAAATGTTAAGCTTAATTTCAATACAGTCTTAGACAGCGAGCAAAACAATAGTGAATCGATTACATCCTGCGTGAGTAAGTGTAGTTACAAAGCCAGACAAAATTGATGAGCGCTCGATTTTATCACAGAATTTCGATCTGCAGAGTGATTTTACGCCGCGCATAGCTCACGTGACTCAATATAAGCTCTCCTATTGGCGCAAACGTCTCAGCCAATCAGCATCTACGGCACTTTTCTGCCGTAATTGAGTCGTATTTCTACCTACCAGGACCGTCGACGAGTCCAACTCGGCGCGCGTCCTGGTAGGTTGTAAACCTACAATGTTATGTTTATGAACATTATAGCTGTTTATGAACATTATAGCTTGGGTCCCCATACCAGGTAAGGCAAAACGTTGATATGGATTGTCTTACGACCTTACGTTGTATGGATCGCCGCGCACGAATGCGCGGCTCCTCTGTACCGTAAAAACTTTACTATAGTGAAACTTTACTATGGTGAAACGATATTGGGGGCCGGGTCACGACGTGATATAAGATATGGAAGGGTTGGCAACGTCAATCAATGCATATTGCATCTGGTATCGAGCTAAAAATTACACTTACAGGATACATTAAAAGCTAAATTTACTACTTAACTGGGAATGCATGTAAGTCAGTATGTGGAGTTTTTGATCCCTCCAGTCATTTAATTGACCATTGTTAATGATGATCGGGAAGAAAGTGGCGCGCGCTACTTCGAATAAATTTAGACGAGTAACATCCGTCAATCCAGTCATCTTTTATTGGAATGCGAACGATTTACGGTTATACAAAAGCCAGACTCAAATTTATTTTGAATTCATACCAGCCTACCAGGTTACAATGTTGGTTAATTCAATGAAACAAGAAATTTTTCAATGAAACAAGAAATTTAATTTTAGCACATTTTACAGAATAAAAGATGTAAAACAATTCATAAAGTATAATGCCCATTTGGTGTATGACTTTTTGTCCTTGACTGCTTGTTTGGTTTTGGAAGGACAGGTTACTAACGGGGCAAGGAATGCGCGTGCCTGGGAGCTTTTGCACACACCAAAACGCTAGTTCAGTTAAGTTTTTAGAGACAAGGCTCAAATTAGGACTATAAGAAAAATTGTTAGCAGACATTAGGGGTTCTGTTTAAAGTTTTTACTATCTAGGTTGCAGTCTTGTTGTGACAAAAAGTCTACACTAAAACATGTTTGATTTTATATTGTGTAGTTCAAGGATTAAAAATGCACCTTCAAGGTGGATATTGGAGAGCAGGCGAAAGATTATGGCTTAAATTTATCAATGGTTATAATAAGCTATAAATATTTTAAACTATACAATGCTAATTAAAAATTTCTTTATACTTCATTCTCAAATTAAAATTTAAAAATTCAAAAATATACATTCATTTTATTAAAACTTTCTCACACATACTTTACTCACAGGACAAGACTTGGAAAACAGTAGCCTAGGGTAATTTAATTTAGATGTGTGTGACCAGCCAGTTATAATGTTTGGAAAATAATATTTGTGCAGTCAAAGTCTTTTACGGTCCAATCAAGCAGGGCGTGGTTATGTTGATTAGCTAGTAGCGCACGTTTTAGCTTTCCTCGCAAGCACATTACACTAGTAGTAAAATCAGTCATTCTGAACTTTGGGGTTAAAATGTTAAAAATTTTGGTTGATCTAGTGTTGTGATTGTCAGGTGGGTCTGCCTGACAGATTAGAAGGCAGGGTTTCCTTGATGAACATGTGTAACCCTCATGTAAGGATATTGGAGCACGGAATTTCATTATCTTGTAGAGCTCCAGGTAACTGTGGTATGTATATAGATTTTGTACAGCTAGAATATTATTATGCTTGAATATCGGTTTGGTGTGCTCTTTTATGAAGAATTTTTGGTCTAGTTTCTGGTGTCCTATAGGCCTAGTACGTGCACAAGTCTTAAACTTATCAAGGTACGCCAGTCTATCACCAAATAGTACTCTGAGACAGTACTTCTGAGCAGTAAATAATGAGCTTATACGTTGCTTCGCTGCCCCACCCCATACAGATATACAGTAAGAAAGATGTGATTCGAACAGGGTATAATATAATTGTTGGTGTAGAAATTCTGGAAGGGAGCAGCGGAGTCTACATAAAGTGGATGTGGAATGATTTAGAGTTCGCTTAAGAGCTTTGATGTGATCTTCCCATGATAGGTTCTCGTCAATTATAACACCCAGAAATTTTGTGGATGAAACCTTTTTGATTGGAAAGTTGTCTATAGTTAGTACACCTTCAGGGTGTGATAAAATCTCTGATTTAGAACCTGCCATGGTGGGTTTGAAGTGTATGTAGCAGCACTTGGACATGTTTATATGTAACTTATTCGCTCTCATATAAGACTGTAATGATGACAGAAGCTCATTTCCTCGTTCATATTGTTAAAAGCATACACATTTAAAACTATCAGAGGAGTCCAATCTAGCAGACTCTAGAAACCATGGTTCAGTTACTAAGTACCGTTCAAGTTGACACTGAGACACAAGCTATAAGTGTCATATCATAACTCACTATTGTGGATGAATAATTTTATAAATCATTGTGAGTAGATCATCGACTGCTTTAGAATAGGTTGTACAGCGAATCAATTGTTGTTTATTTACCTTTTTGTCTCACGTCATAAAACAATCAACCAGTGTGTTGTGGACAGTCCCAACATGCGGCTACTTCGTGAAAGCATAAATTTGTCATGTGTCGTAAAATATGTAATCATGAATTAAAGTCTATCCCATTTTTAGCCATGACGAAACACCTGTTACTGACTGGGGCCCCAGGTGTTGGAAAAACAACACTGTGTAAACATGTTGCAACAACTCTTAGTGAGAGGTATCCAAATCAGATCAAGGGATTTTACACTGAAGAAGTTCGCAGTAAAGACCAACCAAGGAAATCTTGTCGTATAGGATTTGACATTGTATCAGTGGATAATAAAACAAGAGCATCACTTGCTAGAGCACATCCAGAAGGAGTTCAAGCCCGAGGACCTAAGGTTTCAAAATATACAGTTGATGTAAACTCGTTTGAACAAAATGCTCTTCCCTTGTTAGGTCACAGTGGATCTGGGATAAGTATTATTGTTGTAGATGAAATCGGGAAAATGGAGCTCTTCAGTCACAGATTTAAAGCTCAAGTCATGAAACTTTTCGAAAGTGACCTTGTGTATCTATTGTGTACTGTTCCAGTCCAATCTATTCCTTTTGTTGATTCACTCAAGAACAGAACTGATGTTGAGGTTATTGAGGTTACAAGAGAAAACAGAGATGATATGATAGACAGACTTCTGAAAGTATTGGACAGCAAAATCAATAATTAGTCTGGATTAAATGTTTGAAGTGACAAGAGTGTCCGCAATAGGGATTGATCTTTTATACATACACATATAACTGAAGTCTTGAAACATATGAGTATTAATAATCAAAGGTTTATTGATATTTTAGATCTAACGAACTGTCAACCTGAATTTCTAAAATTAGTTTCTGACAATGGAAATGTTTAATGTTTATTATTGAAGTATCGAAGATGCAAGTTGCTGTTACATGTCTTGTTTTAAGTACGTTTTATTGAAATTGTTATAAACTTTTGATTTCTTAGAATGCTATCAGGCCTAAGTGGAAAGTTGGCTCTGGTTGCTGGTGCAGGAAGTGGTATCGGTAAAACTGTAGCTCTCAAACTAGCAGCTCACAACTGTAAAGTCGGACTATTTGATCTCAACGAAGAAGGTTTGTTATGATTACATCTATAGGATAGACAGAACATTATTACAAACGTATTTTTTAAAACCTGTGCACGAAATTTGATATAAAACAATTTTCATTTCTTATAGCATAAAAAGATAAATCTCTTTAATCCTAGGTCTTGAGAAAACCAAATCAGAGATATGTAGCACTGGTGGATTGTGCGCATCATTTGTAGGTGACATCTCCAAGCGGGAGCACGTGCAGTGTGCTGTTGATAATGCTTCATCTCACTTCGATACAACCCCTACTATTGGCATCAACTGTGCTGGTAAACTCCTAGAAATACAAGCGGATTATTATTTTATGATCTGATAAAATCCTGCCAGCCTTTTTTCTCGCTTAGATACTAGAGATATATTGTTTTAAAGCTGACCCACAGTATAATAGGGATAACCCGCGATGCAATGCTTCTGAAGATGACAGATGAACAGTGGGACAGTATAATGTCATGTCACCTGACTGGAACATTCCTCTTTACGCAGATCATGGCTAGACAGATGGTCAAAGCAAAAGCACATGGTAATGAAGTGTTAAATGCTATACTTTTATAACATGATTTGAATCATGTCACTTCAAGAAAATATTTCAACTATGCGACTCATAAATAATATTCCAATCCGGATTTTACATGTCACTTCAGGTATATTATATATATTTACCTGCTTAATTAAAGTTTTGTATTAAAATATAACTCCTATGCAGGCAGTATCGTAAATACTGGTAGTATATCAGGTAAGATAGGGAACGCAGGACAAGCTAACTACAGTGCAGCAAAGGCCGGTATCATCGCTTTCTCTAAAACAACTGCTAGGGAACTTGGTCCAAAAGGTATGTGTACCAGTTATTTTGGAGATTTCATACATATTAACGACGATAAAATAGTGGATATGATTCATTTCAATTTATTGTATTCTCACTCACAGTCACACACTTCAGGCATACGTTGTAATACGATAGTTCCTGGCTTTATCAGCACTCCCATGGCTGATGCTATTCCTCCACACATAAAACAAATGGTTCTCATGATGACCCCGATGGGTCGGTTTGGGGAAACAGCAGAGATTGCTGACCTCTACTGTTTTCTAGCTTCGGAAAACAGCACTTTTATTACTGGTGTTGATATTGAGGTTGCTGGTGGACTTGCTATGTGATAATATTATATCTGTTTGTTGTACTCTAGTTGTTTTGGTACTTTGATTTTTTCTGATTTTTATAAGATTCATAATTCAGGGCATATAATTTATTGTACTATTATATATATAATGATGAAATGTCGTGAAGTGTCCGCTATTCAATTGAGTTATCATTGGTTGAAGTTGTTGCAATAGTTAATGAATAGTAAACAATGGTATTCTGTGTTACGTTTACAGTCTATACAATATACATACGTTTTATGCCGGTAGTAACAGTATAATGGGGGACGGGGGTAGACTGTACTACATCTGGAAACAACATCTTCCTTACCTCCGATTCATTTCTCATTTTAACTCTCATTTTTAACTTAAATTTGTAACTCTAGATAATAGTATGCCTGCGTTTTCTGAAGAGAAAGTTGGAGAAGATAAGGTCGGTGGATCAGCAGATGGGTTCGTTGGTTGGGGTAAGTTTTAAACATTGTTATCACATAGTTACCAGTAATGTTTTTTTTAAAGAGAGGCTAGGCCTGGATGGCCCACGAGATGATAGCATGAGGATGCTCCGCCTACCTCTGGGGTATGGTAACCCTGGAGGAGGTTGCCGGAGATATCAAATGTGTATAGTGGAAGATGGTGGCAAGTTTTATGAGGGGGGATGAGTCATGAAGGAACGCTTAAGTACATGCTGGGTGTGGAAAAGAAAGATAGGCTGAGACAACGTGTGAGTAGTCGCTATGTCACACCAGTCTGGTCCACCTCCTTTGGCACAATTAAGCGTTTGGTGCGGTCCACAATAGTGGAGATGTGTTGGTTGTCAAATATGTCATTGACGGAGAGGTCATAGACCTGGAAATATTGCCCTCTTATTTGGGCAATAGCCGGGCACTGTCCTAGAAAGTGGGAGACAGTCTCCTCTTCGCCGCCATACATAGGACAAGCACTGGTGCTTGATTTGCAAATGATGTGGAGGTGTTTGGTTAAGCCACAGTGTCCCGTGATAAGGTGCACTGCAGTTCTGTAATTTTGTCTGTTGTTCATGTTGCAGAGTGTAGTATTAAGATTTTTGATGATGTTGACGTGTTTGTGGCAGTGTGTCATTTTGGTGTGTCTGGGACCATCAGTTAACCAGGTTTCCTGATTCAGTCTGGTGACTTTGTCGTCGATCAGACGTTTGATGTAAGATTGTGGAATTGGACACTTCAAAGCGGATTCACTGGTTGTGCCAAGCTTGGCCAGCTCACCTGCTTTTTCGTTTCCCCTCAATCCGATATGTGCTGCAATCCATCGGATCTCTAGAGTGTTAGTGGATCCGAGTGCATTGAGAGAGTCATAACAGTCTCTTGTAGTTCTACTCCTCGTTGAAAGCAAGGAGCTTGTATAGAGGAGAGACTGTCAGACCATATAGGTATGATGATATGTGTGTTGGTATAGGTTGAGAGATATTTCCAAGCTTCGATGATGGCTGTGAGCTCTGTTTGATAAACAGTGCAATAATCAGGAAGCTTAAATGATCTCTCTTCTAGAGTGGTGTTATTATTGTCAGTGGTGATGATATAGCCAGCCCCGCTACCTGAGTCTGTGCGTGACCCGTCTGTGTAGCAGGTGATCGTCTCACTGGAGATACTGTCGATGGTGTTTTGTAGTGAATCTCAGTGTGAAGTCTTAGTGTGTATTCAGTGTTATCAGCTCCAGGAGTTGTGACGGTGAAGTGAACGGTTGCAGATTTGAATTACTGAATTATGTTACGCGACGAAAGCAGTGTGTAGGATAGACAGTAGTGTATGTGGCCATTTCATTATTGTCTATTTTCTATGTGAATCAGGTTGACTTCTCTTGCTTACTGCTTTACAATCCTAATGTAGCGAAACACTACCTATTCCTGCGTAATCGCTGCATATTTGGGTATAATCCCCCGCAACTCGCAGAATTGTTTGCTTTTCGAGACATTTTGAAATGTATAACTTCCTGGCTCCCGCGCAAGAATCGGAAGAAAAGCCAGATTTGAACAAAGATTTGCACCAAAATCCTGCATATGGAATTGAGCTTGATGGTAATTCATTAATAGCCTTGTGTATTCTTAGTGTGGATACTGGATAGTGGGGATATTGGGGATGGTGGGGATGGTGGGGATGGTAGGGATAGTGGGGATAGTGGGGATGGTAGGGATAGTGGGGATAGTGTGGATGATGGGGATGGTGGGGATGGTAGGGATAGTGGGGATAGTGGGGATAGTGGGGATGGTGGGGATGGTAGGGATAGTGGGGATAGTGGGGATGGTGGGGATGGTGGGGATGGTAGGGATAGTGGGGATAGTGTGGATGGTGGGGATGGTAGGGATAGTGTGGATAGTGGGGATGATGGGGATGGTGGGGATGGTGGGGATATTGGGGATGGTAGGGATAGTGGGGATGGCGGGGATAGTGGGGATGGTGGGGATGGTGGGGATGGTAGGGATAGTGGGGATGATGGGGATGGTGGGGATGGTGGGGATATTGGGGATGGTAGGGATAGTGGGGATGGTGGGGATGGCGGGGATAGTGGGGATGGTGGGGATGGTGGGGATGGTGGGGATGGTAGGGATGGTGGGGATGGTAGGGATGGTGGGGATGGTGGGGATGGTGGGGATGGTGGGGATAGTGGGGATGGTGGGGATGGTGGGGATGGTAGGGATAGTGGGGATGGTAGGGATAGTGGGGATGGTGGGGATGGTGGGGATGGTAGGGATAGTGGGGATAGTGGGGATGGTGGGGATAGTGGGGATGGTGGGGATGATGGGGATGATGTGGATGGTGGGGATAGTGGGGATGGTGGGGATAGTGGGGATGGTGGGGATGGTAGGGATGGTAGGGATGGTGGGGATGGTAGGGATGGTGGGGATGGTAGGGATGGTGGGGATAGTGGGGATAGTGGGGATAGTGGGGATGGTGGGGATGGTAGGGATGGTTGGGATGGTGGGGATAGTGGGGATAGTGGGGATGGTAGGGATGGTAGGGATAGTGGGGATGGTAGGGATAGTGGGGATGGTAGGGATAGTGGGGATGGTAGGGATAGTGGGGATGGTAGGGATAGTGGGGATGGTGGGGATGGTGGGGATAGTGGGGATGATGGGGATGGTGGTGATGGTAGGGATAGTGGGGATGGTGGGGATGGTAGGGATAGTGGGGATGGTGGGGATAGTGGGGATGGTGGGGATCGTGGGGATCGTGGTGATGGTGGGGATGGTGGGGATGGTAGGGATAGTGGGGATGGTGGGGATGGTGGGGATGGTGGGGATGGTAGGGATAGTGGGGATGGTAGGGATAGTGGGGATGGTGGGGATAGTGGGGATGATGGGGATGACGGGGATGGTAGGGATAGTGGGGATGGTGGGGATAGTGGGGATGATGGGGATGGTGGTGATGGTGGGGATGGTGGGGATGATGGGGATGGTGGGGATGGTGGGGATGGTGGGGATAGTGGGGATGGTGGGGATGGTGGGGATGGTGGGGATGGTGGGGATGGTAGGGATAGTGGGGATGGTAGGGATAGTGGGGATGGTGGGGATGGTGGGGATAGTGGGGATGATGGGGATGACGGGGATGGTAGGGATAGTGGGGATGGTGGGGATAGTGGGGATGGTGGGGATGGTAGGGATAGTGGGGATGATGGGGATAGTGGGGATGGTGGGGATGGTAGGGATAGTGGGGATGGTAGGGATAGTGGGGATGGTAGGGATAGTGGGGATGGTGGGGATGGTAGGGATGGTGGGGATGGTGGGGATGGTAGGGATGGTAGGGATGGTGGGGATGGTGGTGATGGTGGGTATGGTGGGGATGGTGGGGATGGTGAGGATAGTGGGGATGGTGGGGATGGTGGGGATGGTGGGGATGGTGGGGATGGTGGGGATGGTAGGGATGGTGGGGATGGTAGGGATAGTGGGGATGGTGGGGATGGTAGGGATAGTGGGGATAGTGGGGATGGTGGGGATATTGGGGATTTTGGGGATATCGGGGATATTGTGGATAGTGGGGATGATGGGGATGGTGGGGATGGAGGGGATGGTGAGGATAGTGTGGATGGTGGGGATAGTGGGGATATTGGGGATGGTGGGGATTCTTTTTACTTATGATCTCATAAAGAATCACTTGACCGATCAAAAACGGGTTTGATAAAACTTTTTGCTGCATTTCAAATTGGTCACTATGATACCTTCCACAGGACAGCAGACAATAAAAAACAAACCACAATCACAAATTGAGCTGGCTTTCTCCTGTGCCAACCTTAGGGACATGGACGTACTCAGCAAAAGTGACCCTCAGGTACACGATCAATTAATCAATAGTCAAAGTTTCACTGTCATCAATAATAGTGCGATCAATTATAATTAATCCCCATTAAATGAATCAATACAGGATGTTTTTTCCGCTCACTTTAACACAGATCATAATCTCAGATAGTCCTGTACATGAAGAATCATGAGGATATCTGGAAAGAGACGGGACGGACTGATAAAGTTTCCAACGACTGTAACCCCGTGTTTGCGCAGCCTATTCAGATTTCTTACAAGTAAGTTCTGAGATTATGGATCGTGTCAATTTTCATTCTGTACGTCTAGTACAGTCAAATCCGTCTTTTTGTCGGACAAAATTCGCAACAAAGCGATTTTAACGGGATATGGTCGGGACAGGTCCCAGGATTCATTCCAGAGAGTTCCCAAAATCCTCGACTTCAGGAAAATCCACAGTTACCACTTTTTTACCACCTTTTTACCACTTTGGTTTTCCGCAAATAAGTCACGTTCTGAATATCCTAGAAGATTCTAGTTTAAAGCATTGTGTTAAGAAAACAAAGAAGAACAACTTTTTCTTTAACAACGTTTTCAAAAATAAATTATTTATTTAATTAATTAAATAATTAATAAATTTTAAAATATTTCAAAAATACATTTTCATGAAAAATGTTCACAATTACATTCCACGAATATTGAACTAATTTTTATGAAAATTTTGAAAATTTTCACTAACAATATTTTGAACTTGTAAAATTTACGAAATTTGAGAAGAAAAACCACTATTTACCACTTTTTACCACATTGAATCTCCGCTAAAAAAAAACGACTTCTGAATATCGTAGAAGGTTCTAGATTGAACCAATGTGTTCAAAATATAAAGAGAACAAAGTTTTATCTGACAACCTTTGGATTAGATAATTAATTAATTAGTTAATTCGATTATTAAACAAATATCCAAAAATTATAAAAATTATTTTTGATCAAAATATTTTAAAATTACATATCACGAATAATTAACAAATTTCCATTAAATTAATCGGGAAATCGAAGTAGTACTTTATATAACCATATATATACTAGATAACAGTCTAACTTATGAGTCCTCAGCTGGCACATTGCTGCAATTGTCCTGACATTTGAGGCAGGTTGATCCACAATGTATTCCTGCTTTTTTGCATGAACAAGCATTGCCACAACCTGACTTTAAACATTTGCAACTGATTTTTTGAATGAGCTTTTTCGGAGCTGTACTCATAAGAGTGGTCACTGGTACATGTGTCCCATTGTTCATCTTCCATCCCCAGCTTATCGGATCTAGGTCATTCTCATCCCACACCTGCTGCTGATGGTAAACACGATAAGAATGTTGTTCAACTGCCCCAGATGTTGGCGAGAGCTGTTCGCACTTGATGTCTGCTGTTGAAGATTGCGACTTCTGTTCAAGAACTGAAAGTCTTGCTTCATCTAGTGATCTCGATTTTTATGAAATCAGCTATTCTTAACCAATACAATGTTTTAATTTACCAGGCAAATGAGGAGTTAGTTTCGGTGAATAGCTTTAAGAGGGCGAATGATCGACAATGTAAATTTGCATGGAATGAAATATGGAAAGGGTTGCTGTCCTCAGGTACTATTTAAACTATTTATCTTTTAAGTAAGTGCACTAACTTTTAAACTATGCCCAGCAAATTTGAAACGGATACGTACAGTCCTATTCTTTATCCTGACGCCTCTCATACCTTGTATAAATAAAGAAATCAACGCACCACAGGTTGGATCAACAACCCCTGGTCACTGAACGAAATTAAACGGCAGTACAACGGCATGACTGATTCAGCTCTGAGTGACGTCTTGTGTGTATTATTGCAGACAGTGACCATAGACCAGTTCCAAAGATTCATATCTAGCCTAGCGGTTAGAGCATCCGCCTTCTGCGCAGAGGTTCAGGGTTCGAATCCCAGTGTCACCTAGTCTAGGGAGTAGCTAAGGATCCATTGGATCTAAGGGATCTCAACGGTCGACTCAACCGAATGATAGGAAACTTAATTGAGGTTTAAATGAGGCGGGGCACCTGTTAAAAGTTCAAGCAACTAGGATACCCCTTCAGTGCATACTGTAAACATAGTGCTGTTAACTATTATATCGGCCAATGAAGAGGAGTTCGTTGTAACTGAGACAGGACCATCTTTAGTCCACGAACACAGTTTAAACAAATGTCCATTCTGTAACGTAGAGATCGCACTAAATGATAAATCCTCAAACCGGATTACAGACAGGGTAAATTATTGTGCGGGGGAGGGGGGAGGTGGTATAGTACACATACGTTAGGCTCTTACTAAGTTCCTAATTCGCTCGCCCAAAAATTTCTCGTGACTTTCTCCGTAGCTTAGTGCACTAGATTCCCACTATCGGAATCGTTCTGAATAGCCGATCCTTACCAACTCCGTGGATCCGACTGGTGGTGTCTGATCCAGTGAAAGCGTGGCACAGAAATCGTGCAGAAAGCCCAATTACGGTATCCTAGCACCCTGTCACGTGATAAGCAATTAGGTAATCATTGATAACCCAATCAATTTCGCCAACGAGATAAACAAATTGCTTGATAACTTCGTCATTTTCAATCCGTTTCGCACATCGTTTTGCAGATGTTTTGATTTGCAGAGAGGCAGTTCTGTGGTCTAATCCAGTTGATGTTTCTGTAAGTCGAGAGATATGATGTGTAAATATTTATAAATAAGCTATAATAGTATCGTACAAATTTGGATATTTTACCGTTTATTCCATTTATCTGAATTTTTTAAATCTGTTATCTAATCTATGTGACGGTGTATGTTCTGTTATTCAAGTAAATTCATTTTACGTCACGACAAATATTTTTGATAAAAAGTATATTTTGAAATTTTTAAAAATTTAATTATTATTTAATTAATAAATCAATTAATTATCTAATCCAAAGGTTGTCAGATAAAAAGTTGTTCTCTTTTATATTTTGAACACATTGGTTCAATCTAGAACCTTCGACGACATTCAGAAGTCGTTTTATTAGCGGAGATTCAATGTGGTAAAAAGTGATAAATAGTGGTTATTCTTTACGAATTTCGAAAATTTTACAAGTCCAAAATATTGAAAGTGAAAATTTTTATAAAAATTAGTTCATTGCACGTGGAATGTAATTGTGAACATTTTTTATGAAAATATATTTTTGAAATATTTGAAATTTTATTAATTATTTAATTTATTAATTAAATAATTTATTTTTGAAAAAGTTGTTAAAGGAAAAGTTGTTCTTCTTTGTTTTCTAAACACAATGCTTTAAACTAGAATCTTCTAGGATATTCAGAACGTGACTTATTTGCAGAAAACCAAAGTGGTAAAAAGGTGGTAAAAAAGTGGTAATTGTGGATTTTCCTGAAGTCGAGGATTTTGGGAACTCTCTGGAATGATTCCTGGGACCTGTCCCGACCATATCCCGTTAAAATCGCTTTGTTGCGAATTTTGTCCGACAAAGGCTTAAATTAGGACGGATTTGACTGTACTAGTCGTCCAATGAGACAAATTATCTCCATTACAACACATCATTTATCATGTAGTGTATCATGTAATAATTACATAATGATAATTAATCAGATTTGAAGAGAGACAAGACATCAGGATCAGAGTGTTTGACTTGGACGACCCTGGTCAGAGTATAGGTATGGCAGACTTCTTGGGGGAGCTGGAAATACCAGTCGGCCAGGTAACGTAATGTCGGGGGGGGGGGGGGGGGGCTCTTGTTTGTTTGTTTATAGAACCCGTCCCAATCTCGTATCGGAAACTGACGAAACTCAAATTTGAGTGTGAATACGGGTGGTAACTGGTACCTGCAAGAGTGTTCATTGAGCATTTGGAGTTCTTTAAAACTGCAGTTACAATTGCGCTAGAGTATTTTTATTATTTACGATCGATATCAGATCGGTATCCTTGCATGATAGAGGGGGCTCTTATAATATCAACTATTAAACAGTTAAACCTGCGCAAATAGTTTAAATTGTTCTGCTCTGTTAAGCAGGGAATTAGATTGTTCACTGAAACTCCCCCTAGATTGTAGCTGTCAGATCACTAACAAAGCCCCTGGATCACCCGAGATTTCAAGAATGTGGCACAATCACCATTACCGCTACCGAAGTGGGAGGTCATCACGAAATTGCCTGTCTCAAATTCGAAGGTGCTACTCCGTATTTATCATAATGAAGAAAGAATCACTTTACATATACAGGCTTACATATTATCTATATTAATTATCCAGAATATTCGACCTTTCCATTTCTCTTATAACTTTTCCCCGCAAGTTTGGGGCGTTACCAGACAATCCTTACAGGTATGGGGTTAGACAAAAAGGATTTTTTCGGTAAGTCAGATCCGTTCTACGAGCTGGGGAAGCAGAACCCAGACGGTACATTTCAGACAGTGTACCGCTCTGAGACGATCGAGGGAACACTCAGCCGAGATGGAGACAACACGAGATTAATGTTAAGAGGCTCTGTGGCGGCGAGGCTGAGCAACCCATACTGGTGCGTTTAAAAAAAAAAGAAGCTTTGAAAAGTTTATTTTGCTTAATAACTTGCTGGATAGTTATTTTGGCCTTGAAAACTCGGATAGATCTTGAGTATTGAAAACTCGGATAGATCTTGAGTATTGAAAACTCGGATAGATCTTTAGTATTGAAAACCTTGATTAACAATTGTTGCAAATGTTGATTCATTTCACAATCATGATAGTATTGGTATTTCAGTTCTCCTGCTATGATCACGACGATGACGGTTCTCATGACTTCATTGGTTACTTCATAACAACACTAGCTCAACTACGAGACCGAGCTAATGCTTCAACCACCGTCTTCGATCTTATCAACCCTAAGAAATTAAAAACGAAGAAAGATTACAGTAACTCAGGTGCGGCTCAAATTCAAGTGGCTTGCTGAATTTGTTTAATGAATAACTTGATACGATTTACCCGATATAGTCCGACGTCTGTACCTGAACCAGTTTAGGACCGTTAAGATCACATCCTGTTTTTAAAGATAAGTTGTCTCCGTAATGATCTGGTCACTTAACTACTTATTATTCTCTGGTTAATTACAGCCACTTTGTTCAGGTCAAGTAAAGATGGCAGAGTGCAGGGTGGAGAAGACTTATTCTTTCCTTGATTACATCATGGGTGGACTGCAACTCAACTGCACTGTGAGTATGCAGATTATAAAACAATAAATCAGAATATTTGTCGATTGACTGCCAAATTTTCCATCTTTAAATTTAGTCCTTTATCTGTACTTCTTCTCCACAAGGCAGGGACAACTTACTCTTATCCAGCTAGTTGTTTTAAAGTCGTAGTAACTATTTTACCATATCTCATTTCCTCTAACTCACCCCAGGTAGCAATAGATTTCACCATATCTCATTTCCTCTAACTCACATCAGGTAGCTAGCAATAGATTTCACCATATCTCATTTCCTCTAACTCACCTCAGGTAGCAATAGATTTCACCATATCTCATTTCCTCTAACTCACCTCAGGTAGCAATAGATTTCACTATATCTCATTTCCTCTAACTCACCTCAGGTAGCAATAGATTTCACTATATCTCATTTCCTCTAACTCACCTCAGGTAGCAACAGATTTCACCATATCTCATTTCCTCTAACTCACCTCAGGTAGCAATAGATTTCACTATATCTCATTTCCTCTAACTCACCTCAGGTAGCAATAGATTTCACCATATCTCATTTCCTCTAACTCACCTCAGGTAGCAATAGATTTCACCATATCTCATTTCCTCTAACTCACCTCAGGTAGCAATAGATTTCACTATATCTCATTTCCTCTAACTCACCTCAGGTAGCAATAGATTTCACCATATCTCATTTCCTCTAACTCACCTCAGGTAGCAATAGATTTCACCATATCTCATTTCCTCTAACTCACCTCAGGTAGCAATAGATTTCACCATATCTCATTTCCTCTAACTCACATCAGGTAGCAATAGATTTCACCATATCTCATTTCCTCTAACTCACCCCAGGTAGCAATAGATTTCACCATATCTCATTTCCTCTAACTCACATCAGGTAGCTAGCAATAGATTTCACCATATCTCATTTCCTCTAACTCACCTCAGGTAGCAATAGATTTCACCATATCTCATTTCCTCTAACTCACCTCAGGTAGCAATAGATTTCACCATATCTCATTTCCTCTAACTCACCTCAGGTAGCAATAGATTTCACCATATCTCATTTCCTCTAACTCACCTCAGGTAGCAATAGATTTCACTATATCTCATTTCCTCTAACTCACCTCAGGTAGCAATAGATTTCACCATATCTCATTTCCTCTAACTCACCTCAGGTAGCAATAGATTTCACCATATCTCGTTTCCTCTCACTCACCTCAGGTAGCAATAGATTTCACCATATCTCATTTCCTCTAACTCACCTCAGGTAGCAATAGATTTCACCATATCTCATTTCCTCTAACTCACCTCAGGTAGCTAGCAATAGATTTCACCATATCTCATTTCCTCAAACTCACCTCAGGTAGCAATAGATTTCACCATATCTCATTTCCTCTAACTCACCTCAGGTAGCAATAGATTTCACCATATCTCATTTCCTCTAACTCACCTAAGGTAGCAATAGATTTCACTATATCTCATTTCCTCTAACTCACCTCAGGTAGCAATAAATTTCACCATATCTCACTTCCTCTAACTCACCTCAGGTAGCAATAGATTTCACCATATCTCATTTCCTCTAACTCACCTCAGGTAGCAATAGATTTCACCATATCTCATTTCCTCTAACTCACCTCAGGTAGCAATAGATTTCACCATATCTCATTTCCTCTAACTCACCTCAGGTAGCAATAGATTTCACCATATCTCATTTCCTCTAACTCACCTCATGTAGCAATAGATTTCACCATATCTCATTTCCTCTAACTCACCTCAGGTAGCAATAGATTTCACCATATCTCATTTCCTCTAACTCACCTCAGGTAGCAATAGATTTCACTATATCTCATTTCCTCTAACTCACCTCAGGTAGCAATAGATTTCACCATATCTCATTTCCTCTAACTCACCTCAGGTAGCTAGCAATAGATTTTACCATATCTCATTTCCTCTAACTCACCTCAGGTAGCAATAGATTTCACCATATCTCATTTCCTCTAACTCACCTCAGGTAGCAATAGATTTCACTATATCTCATTTCCTCTAACTCACCTCAGGTAGCAATAGATTTCACCATATCTCATTTCCTCTAACTCACCTCAGGTAGCAATAGATTTCACTATATCTCATTTCCTCTAACTCACCTCAGGTAGCTAGCAATAGATTTCACCATATCTCATTTCCTCTAACTCACCTCAGGTAGCAATAGATTTCACAGGCAGTAACGGGGACCCCCAAACTCCCCGGTCTCTACACTACATAGGAGCCCCTGAGGGTAACCATTATCAGCAGACCTGGCAGGCTATTGGTCAGATCATTCAGGATTACGACGCGTGAGTTGGAGCGCATTTCTGTTACCTTATATTTTTCTCCTCTCTTTGTCAAGCACCTAAACCTTATCAGTCAAATCTTGTTTATTTTAGAGATGATATCATCGGGTCTGGGACTCTAGAGCGTGAGACTTCAGGGCTCTACGAAACAGGACTTTAGAGCGTGGAGACGTAAAAAACACGTCATGTTTCGTAGGACTCTAGAGTCCCGGACCTCGACCCTAGAGTCCCGGACCTCGACCCCGAGTTATATAGTTCATTTATCATTGAAGTGCTGCAATTTAGTTACGTCTGAAATCAGATAAAAGATAGGCTTATATAATGTATACATTAGCTTGTGTATCGTGTAGCTCAAATCATGATTAGAGCCTCATAGAACTGATTTGAGTGCCACTTTCAGCTGTGTTCCGTGATAACAAATATGTTAAGTGTTTTGGCAATACTTCGTGTTGAATCAGATAATGTATTCCGTAATGTACTTGGTGATGGACATTGTGACCAGTTTACAATAGGGAATATGGTATATATAGAAATGGAACATGGTGTGGGCCCAGAAATACAAAAATTGAACTGTTACAGAATTAAATGATATCTAGTACTTGATAAAGTTATATCTTCTAGTTATGTTATGAACTGATGTTTTTCATCAAGTGACAAGAGGTAGTTGAACAGTTGACTTTTTCAGGGACAAGTTGTTCCCAGCATTCGGCTTTGGAGCAGCACTTCCGCCTCACGGTCAAGTATCGTTCGAGTTCGCTCTCAATGGAAATGCTGATAATCCACTGTGCGCTGGTAAGTTACACACTTATTCTTATTGATTTTCTTTCTAGTGTGATGTAGTTCGTATCCACTACTACTTATGTATCATTTTATCGGTATAATTGTTGATCATGTGATTGACCTCTGTTCCTTTATTATTTAAATTTTTAATTTTGGTTGAAACAGTAATCTGCATGAAATGATGGCTATTATGTGTTCATGATTCATCACTGTACAATATGTATATGACTCGTCGTAGACTCATATCATATCATGCCACATCGAAAACATGTATCTCCGAGATGCGATATCGGCTATGCGCCTTTCAGGAAGACGCGGCGCCGAATCAATATTTGTTTGAATCGTTTGCGATATGACACGCGCATATTATTTGCGCGCGCAATCGATCGATTTAGCGATTAAATCGGCCGACCATGCGTTCCGCACATGCTCAACCGGACGACTCAAGTTGAGTAACGATGGACCTGGTTGAGTCACTCAACCAGGTCCATCGTTAATCAAGACATGTATGAGTTGCGCTCATCGAGGCATACATTTGTTAAGCGATATCCCACCAATCAATTTATTTCGCGAACCAAATTAATAGATAATACCGAAATGAGTTATAACACTTGGTGTAACATCAGCACACTACGCTATAACATTCATGTAAAATATTTAAAACATCTACAGATTCTACCATAATTTACCACCAAAAAGGCGAGCTGCTTAGTTTTAGTATTTAAACAAAGCACGGATGACTGGTGGGTTCAGTTTACATTGAATTCTGGAAACTTGTTCAATATTTGTCGTTCAATGTTGTTTTTGCCTCATTTTCGTCCAAGGAGAGCTTTCACAAACACCCGGATGCTGTCACTTCTAAATATAAGAATCAAGGGATTGATCAAACTGTTCAGAAAAGGAACAAAGGCTGAAGTGACATATAAAATCAGGCGATCAGATATTTTAGGGCCGTCAGGTCTACCATGTTTCTGAGTGTCCCCAAACAGCCAGATCACAGAAACAGAGTACGCAGTGTTACACAAACAGAAAACACTGGTCAACTGTATAATGGTAATGGTTGTTTTCCACTCAGATTTCCGTTCTTCAGACTTTTTTTCCTCAGGTTCCACTCCACTTTGCTGTCCATTTTTTCGGTTTACACTGGCTGGTCCAACTTTTCCATTGATCAAATGCTTTCTATCAGAGTTAAAAAGTAAAACTTTACTTTGGATTACCAGACAGATGATAGCAATCAGTGTTGCTAAATGGTAGAAGATGTTCGACACACTTGACTCTACGACTAAGGGGACCGAATTCTTTGTTCCATCATCTAAAGCCTGTTCCAAGAGACTAGATCCTAAAGCTGGATTGAGAAACATCTTTGCGTGAAATATCATTATGGGCATTTTCTCAGTTAAAACTAAAAGGCGCCATAAATCAATAACGCAGAGGATCAGAATGAAGACAAAGCACACCCAGTACACAATGTGTAGGTTCCTTCTTCTGACTCGGTAGAAAGGCTGGGAGATGTTGATGGTTCTCACCACACTCAACACTGTGTTGGCAAAGACACTCAACCTACCTGCTAGATTCGTCATCACGTACACTACGCAAACCAATACCTTTATGGTCTTTTCCACTGCTTCCACATCTGATGTCACCGAAATTATCATGTAGACTGCGTGTATCACCGCGGTGACACCCATGGTGACATCCCAGCCGGTGAGGTAGGTATAGAGCAGAGCAGCGGTGCTACGTTTACCTTTTCTGTAGAAGTGTCCGACTAGAGAGTTAAGGATGATGATAGTTACACCAACCACCAAATTTAGTGGAATCATTGTGTAGAGGAAGGAACTTGTAATAGCGTTACTGTTCATAGCAACATTTTTATTATTGTTTATAATGTCGTTTATATTGGCCTTATTTCCGTTCGTTTGATCCATCGTATCATTTCGCGCCATTTCCTGCATTCGAGTACTTTTATAATCTTACAGTGTTTAAACTTCTATTTTTCAACAACTAGCAAAGTAATGTAGTATCAGTTAATTGAGCACAACTAAAAAACGGGCAAATAAGATATACGGTAAAAGAGTTTCATCATCAAATTCCAGGCAGTGAAAGTAACCGTCTACATTATATCCCTGTAAACACCGCGGTAATTATAATTAAAATAATGGTCTCTCTTTTTAACTGTTAACCGTAGGACACCTTTACGTAGATTAAATACTCATGACGACTTATAATTATCTGTTAAGTTAGAGGAATAGTAGCCCACAGTACCCTACAAACAGATTAGTTTAATTTATCTAAGTACGGTTGACAGATCTATCCCAGGTTAGTAATCATTTACGACACAGCTGTTTTATTAGTACATAAAACAGTAATTTGGCTGGTACTGCTTGCACGTGCTATTTAATCACCTCCAGCTGTGCCTGCGTCTGCACGTGCGAGTGCCTATTTCTATTTTGAGTTGTTTCCTTAGAAACTGGTGATAATAAATACAACAAAATAGAGCTAAGTTTTTAATGTGTCTACGAAATATTATGCGAGTCTTTTTGAAGAAAATAAAACTATCTTTTCTAGAATTTACAAGTACAGCAAGTTCATGGAAAAAGAAGAATCTAAACGATTAATTGTAACACTTTTGTATTTCTCACAACAAAAAATCAATCCAGAGTTTACTTCAGTGTTCTGATATGATTATTCATCAAAATTTAAATTCTACAATAAACATTTATTCAAGGCATGTCACTGATTCTACGTCGCTCATTAAAATTCTGCCACCTGAAGAACAAATTGAATGAATAGTTTTGGGATCTCTAATTTCGTTCTTAGAATTCGCTATCAAATTGACAGATTAATAGCTTGAGTTCATTTCTGTGTTTTTCATAAAGATTCAATCTCTTCAGTATTCAGCAGTCCCATCAATAATTTGTAGACAAATGTAATTTTTTGTAAGTTTGTGGTCCAAATCTCTCTTAACTCTATTCTGAGACAAAATGTGATTTATTGAGCCACCAGAACTGGCGAATGATCATTGTGGCTCCACCAGAGACATGCTACCTAAACAGAAGGTTTCAAAAGTTCCTACTACTACTAAAGAAAGGTATAGAATTTATATCGTACCAAGACTCCAAGTCTTTTAGTGTTTCTTTAAAGAAATCTGATCAAAAACCAAGTTTAATTTTAACAAACTGCCTGACACCATCACTCCTCACTATGAGAATCAGTGGGTTTATCAGGCTGTTCAAGAAAGGAACGAAGGTGGAGGTAACGTAGAAGCACATTCTATCTGACATCTCTATGGACGAAACATTATGCTTTTTAGTGTCATCCAACAGCCATATTACAAACAATGTATACACAGTGTTACACAAACAGAAGACCGTAGTAAGTTGGATGATGGTGATGGTGGTCCTCCACTCAGAGCTCTGCCTTTCAGAGTCTTCAGCTTTAGAGCCAGGTTCGTCTGGTTGGGTTGTTGAGGGTGCTGGAGCTACGCTGCTGCTTGCTGCATCCTTTCGCATGGCTTTAGCATCAGGGTTGCATAGCAGAACTCTACTTTGGATTGCAAGACATATGATTGCAATAAGTGTTGCAAGATGGAAGAATCCGTTGGAGACTAATGCGTCCCTTTCAAAGGTTGTTCCATTTTGTGCATGGATCATTGTATCTAAAATAGTATCTCCAAGCACAGGGCTGAGCAACATATCATTTCGAAATGTGTGGAACGTAAATTCAGAATTTCTTATCTTTTTGGTATAAATCAACCAAATGTCAACCGCACAAAGAATATTATGAATAGCAAAGCACACCCAGTACACAATGTGTAGGTTCCTTCTTCTGACTCGGTAGAAAGGCTGGGAGATGTTGATGGTTCTCACCACACTCAACACTGTGTTGGCAAAGACACTCAACCTTACTGCTAGATTCGTCATCACGTACACTGCGCAAACCAATACCTTCATGGTCTCTTCTACTGCTTTCACATCTGATGTCACCGTAATTATCATGTAGACTGCGTGTATCACCGCGGTGACACCCATGGTGACATCCCAGCCGGTGAGGTAGGTATAGAGCAGAGCAGCGGTGCTACGTTTACCTTTTCTGTAGAAGTGTCCGACTAGAGAGTTAAGGATGATGATAGTTACACCAACCACCAGATTCAGTGGAATCATTGTGTAGAGAAAGGAACGTGGAATAGGATCTCCTGACGATCCACCCCTATCTTCTAAAGGTCCATTTGTTTCATTTGTATTTTGTTCGCAGTTCGGGCCCGGACAGACTTTGCTCATCTTCAGCTTTTAATGTTAAAATATTAAATGTTAATACACGTATAAGTCTCACAAATTTATGAGATTTAAAATTCAAATTTAACCCTGCAAAACTGAAGTGTCACATTTAGGTTGAAGGCGTTGATTTATTTTAATGTGTTTTAGCAAGGAAGGTTAAAATGGAAACAAAAACCATTATAAACAAATTGAAGATAACGGTGTTATCTATAACAGTATCAGTGAAACGGCAAAAACTAATTTTGTAAATGTATCCATTAAAAGTAACGAGCAGTAAAACACAATACGGTCCGGCTTGTCCTCTTCTGCTAAGTTAAATGTCTACTTCGCTAACAGGAAACTAATAATGAGTGAACTATTATAACCCATTACAGATATAAAATTGGAGCCAATAGTTTCCGAGGCTACAGGTTATTATACAGTAGTACGCTTAAACAGTTAAACAGTTAATCGGTGGTTCATATTGAATAATAAGTAGTTAATGAACGTAAAGAGGGTACTATAAACGGATAATAAGTTCTTAGATATCAGCCGACGCGCGCGTGACGCAGGTCATTCGTGAACTTTAATTATATAGGTTTATAAATTTTTCCTAATACTGCAATTAAAGATAATTATGAGTTTGAAATCTATATATATATAATTATATCCATAGACACAGTGTTTCGTCCTATTAGGACTCATCAGTATGGCTCAAATCATCAAGGTTGGTTTTGCCGATGGCGGGTATTGATCCAGCAACCTTGCGATTACTAGCCCAACGCCGCGCCACTGGGCCACCAAGGCCTTAATAATGAGGGAATTACATAGGTACCAGAGTGCTCTACAAACTCATTACAAGTTAGGAGCTTTGCATTTAAGCTGAGCGGTAGATCTATTCATTCCCTAGAGTGCTCAAGCTTAGTAAACTAGGCGAGCATATTTATCCATAGACACAGTGTTTCGTCCTATTAGGACTCATCAGTATGGCTCAAATCATCAAGGTTGGTTTTGCCGATGGCGGGTATTGATCCAGCAACCTTGCGATTACTAGCCCAACGCCGCGCCACTGGGCCACCAAGGCCTTAATAATGAGGGAATTACATAGGTACCAGAGTGCTCTACAAACTCATTACAAGTTAGGAGCTTTGCATTTAAGCTGAGCGGTAGATCTATTCATTCCCTAGAGTGCTCAAGCTTAGTAAACTAGGCGAGCATATTTATCCATAGACACAGTGTTTCGTCCTATTAGGACTCATCAGTATGGCTCAAATCATCAAGGTTGGTTTTGCCGATGGCGGGTATTGATCCAGCAACCTTGCGATTACTAGCCCAACGCCGCGCCACTGGGCCACCAAGGCCTTAATAATGAGGGAATTACATAGGTACCAGAGTGCTCTACAAACTCATTACAAGTTAGGAGCTTTGCATTTAAGCTGAGCGGTAGATCTATTCATTCCCTAGAGTGCTCAAGCTTAGTAAACTAGGCGAGCATATTTATCCATAGACACAGTGTTTCGTCCTATTAGGACTCATCAGTATGGCTCAAATCATCAAGGTTGGTTTTGCCGATGGCGGGTATTGATCCAGCAACTTTGCGATTACTAGCCCAACGCCGCGCCACTGGGCCACCAAGGCCTTAATAATGAGGGAATTACATAGGTACCAGAGTGCTCTACAAACTCATTACAAGTTAGGAGCTTTGCATTTAAGCTGAGCGGTAGATCTATTCATTCCCTAGAGTGCTCAAGCTTAGTAAACTAGGCGAGCATATTTATCCATAGACACAGTGTTTCGTCCTATTAGGACTCATCAGTATGGCTCAAATCATCAAGGTTGGTTTTGCCGATGGCGGGTATTGATCCAGCAACCTTGCGATTACTAGCCCAACGCCGCGCCACTGGGCCACCAAGGCCTTAATATATATAATTATATATAGAATTAAACTTTTAGTTGGAAAATAACATCGTTATTTGTTAGTAGAGCACTTTGTCGAACACGAAAAACGAACACGTTTGTATATATAATAAGTATGTAATAAGTATCGAGTAATATTGCACGTGTTACTAAGTTATACTAACTAACGTTATACTCCATATTGAAATAGCTAATGATAATGCAGCGTAGGTATGTTGGAAAAAATAAACTAAAAATAGTCTCATACACTAAGCGGCTGCAACAGAGTTAATAAATGTGGTAAAATTAATGAACAACTCAGCGAAGGTAGTTGCTGTTTTTTACTGGACCTATCTAACAGCATATGAGTTGTGACCATTATAATGGGGTGCGAGTGGGGTTGGGGATCTGGTATACTGTGAACAGTGCAAACATCGAGCTTGGTAAGGCGGGAACCTGAGACGAATTACGTTAAGACTGCACGGTACTTTCGAGGACAAATGACCATGTATTCGTTGTTAATATCAACACAATTTGCATATGCATGATCTATACAGATTGGGTGGTGTCCTGTGTACCTTCTTAATATGTCCTTAGATAAAGTGAACCTGACGATGTGTAGATTGGGTCGTTCACATATTACGTAATCAATATTTTGGCAATTTTTACCCCCCCCCCCCTCCGTAATCAACCGTAATCAAGACCGAACCCCCCCCCCCCCTATATTACGTAATCAAGGTTTAACCCCCCCCCCTCCCCCGTAATCAAGACACAACGGATAAATCAATGAAATAATCGCAAAGTACTTACTAAACGAAAATTGGTTTAAAAAACTAAAATTTTGATTACATAATTAACGAAAATTGTCCAATTGGTATTTCGGAAATTGGTAAAAAATTAAAATGTTGATTACGTAATCAACGACCAAAACCCCCCGCCCCCGTTATCAACCGTAAGCATTTGAAAACCCCCCCTCGGCTGATTACGTAATATCTGAACGACCCCTAAGTATATACAGCACTGTTCTGCATCTTGTTTACATAAATTCAATTATAACTATCGTTTATACTTTATTTGGTGGCCATTAAGTTCATTATCTTATGTCATGGAGGAGAGTTAGAGGGGAGAGGAGAGGAAGAGAGGGAGAGAGTCTACTTTTGTCTAGCAGTGGTTTAATTGCCGTACCTGTATCTCATCAATTATTGGTGAAATACATTGATCAGTTCTCGTACAACATCATACCACAACATCATACCACAACATCATACCACAACATCATACCACAACATCATACCAAGTCATCATACCAAGTACTAGCACGTGAAGAAATAAATATGAATTAGACGAAAAGCGTGACCTTTTAATGAACAATTATCATTGGAGTAAAGCTGTTTCTACTATATCACTATTTTGCAGAAGAGAAATATAACAAATACTAACCAGTAATAGTACTGGATCCTCCCCGCTAGGTGACACCGCTTTCTGAGAGTTAAACCAGATCAAAAATACTTTTTCTTTTGTCTAATTTTTTCGACCCTTCTTTTTGATAGTAGAATTCATGATCACTGAAGAAATTTTCGGTTCGCACCACAATTCAGTACACTGTTTTAAGCAAATAAAACAAATTATTTAATTATGAGAATAATTATTAGAGTTGTATATGGAAATGTAATTCAAATCAATAAAATCTCGACAAAGAGATTAAACGGCTCTTAAAACAGAACCAAATCAGTTACATTTACGGCTCAAAGAGAGCATTCAAGCTCACAGTTTGAGAATTCCTCAATACTGTCATTAATCCAAACGTGATGTCTCATCATATCAAATGGCATTCTTCTTTTCTCGTCAGTCTTCAAACAACACTTCACAAAATCAAACGATTCGTCCATACAGTGCGCCATCAAGCTCCAATCTGGTCCAGTGCTAACAATCTGGTTGATGGATGTGAAGGGAGTGAAGGAAGAGAGACAACAGAACGCTAGACACCCTATAGCCCACACAGCACCAGGTCGAGGATAGTACTTGTTGTAAAGATAATGTTCTGGAGGAATGTATATGTCAGTTCCTCGGACAAGACGGTAGGGATGTTTTGAGAGAACTGAGGCAGAACCAAAGTCTATAAGTTTGATCTGATCTCCGGCTGGGTTGTACATGATGTTCTCCTCCTTTATGTCTCGGTGATCAACCCCCATCTTGAAACAGAACCCGATAACATCGACCACCTGTTTAATAACGTTCCTAGCTCTCAACTCTGTCAGTCTTCCGTGCTCTTCAATGTGGTCGAATAGGTCTCTGTAGCCTTCGAGATGTTCTGTTATGATCACTAGCTTGTCCTTGATTTCATGGTGCTCGGTGAAGGTGGATATGTTGGGATGACTAGAGAGTCGCTTCAGAGCCCAAACTTCCATAGGAACGTACTCATCGTTTTGTAGAATGATGTCCTGTTGTTTCTTGTTCTTCACAACCTTAGCAGCGTACTTCATCTTGGATTTCCGAGACTGCACACAGAAAACGTCACCAAAAGCTCCCTCGCCGAGTTTGGACTGGATAGAGTAGCGGCGTTTGAAGGAATCCAGCTGGTTGTCCCTTGAAGGTCCGCAGGAGGAAAAGATTTTCAGCTTCATTGTAAACAAACCAACAGAATTCTTGAGTAGAAGAGTTTCAAAAGAGGTAAACTGACAATGAGAGGGAACCTGGTTAACCTCAAAATATATAGTCCGACTGATTGAGGTGCACAACAACTAACAAGTTTATACGTAAGTCGATCTGTTATCAAATGTACAATTAGTCGCACTAAAAAACCGCACTACAGACTTAACTACCTAACCTCCGATTGCACCAGCATATAACCACATCGTCCACCACTTATTGCTTGCAAACATACCCCCGCTTGTCACATGACCTGTGGTATGGTTCCCCCTGATTGACTGCTGTCTCGAATACACTCTTCTGATTGGTTGATGTCTCGAATACACTCCTCTGATTGGGTATTGTGACCAGCTGAAGGTTTGCAGCTGGTGAGATGATCCGACAATCAGCTTGTTAGACGTATTTCCGGTGGGAAATGGAACTGGAAACGTGGGCCGTGAAGAAAGAAGCTGAGTAAGAAGATGAAACTCATAGTTCGTTCACGTGACATACATTTAACATGTCAGCTTGAGTGTTATTAGGTTGGTAGCGGGTAGGTTACGTGCTCAGCAGATCAATTTAATTACGGCCCTTAAATCCATCGCCCATAAGGAGATCAATATGTGAGACCTTGAATTTAAAACCTCGCGGAGGGGCGGGGACACTGAGCAAATTATAATCTTAAAATAAATTTTCGTCAACGTTTTGGTCAGCTTATAGGATTGTGTGATGTGACACCGCCCATTTAGTAGTGAAACATTCATTATCACATATTGGATATTACAGACGCATAATTTTGATGACAAAGCCTTAAGCTATAATTAAATATTATTCATAAAAGAGAAAAGAAAGTTTTATAATTATTTAGTCAATGTTTCAGCTTGTGGTGACTGTAGAAAACCCCCTAGTTTACATCAGACACTAACGGTGGACCCCCTAGTGTGTAGAAAAACTTTAACCTGGTAACCTTGTTGTCTGCTCAAAGCAATTCTACCTGCACATTCACATTTTTCAATGAGATCGCTCGCAGTGATAACGACTTATTTGTTCAGAAAATAATAAACTTTGGACACTTTCGAAGATATTTCTCTGCTAACTTTGTACTTATAATACAGTCTACAGTTAAAGTATCTGCCGTGCAGGGGGAATCAAAAAATGAATTCTCGGAGCTTACGATCTTATTGTTCCTTATAACATGAACTCGCTGAGGCTCCAATTCCCGTTTCTGCTTAACTTCAAGAACTAACTTCCTGAAGGCAGCTCTCTGCTCGGCTGATCGGTCGGGGCTGATGTACACTGAGTCATACCCCTCCACTTCTCTTAGTTTTCTCGCTTTGCTCAACACTCGCCGCACATGATCTGAGCCGCTGAGAGTGAACTTGATAGGTTTAACGGCTGGTCCTCCATCTGATACAGTTCTCCCCATCCTACAGCAAGAAACGATTCGAGGTTTCTCATCTATGTTTTTTAGTACCTCAAGCACTCTCTTTTCCAGGATTTCTTCACTCTTTTCTGGTAGACCGTAGATGACCAGATTTTGACTACGATCCTCTTCCTCGGAGGCACGTTTCAGAGCAGCTTTCATTTTCTTAGGCGCTAGCGCCTTGCTGCATGAATTCTTCACAACTGACGACCAGGCTTTGAGTTCGCTTTTCACTGTCGTCTGAACAGAGGTCAAATCCTCACTTTTCTTCTCAAGCAATTGTCCTTGCAGTTTAATCACAGTGTTCTGATCTGCAATCTTTTCGTCCTTCAGTTGGTCGATTTCATCTTGTAGTTTGGTGGCTGAAAACAACAGCGGTGAACAATAACTGTCAAGAAAGTCGATAAAAGTTTCCATCCAATCACACAGCAAAGCCTTGGTGATCTGAGGCTTGTTGAGCGTTTCTTTACGTAACAGATTGGATTTCTGAACACCTGCCGCTTGACGCATATCGTTGAGTAGCATAATCTTAGCACCCAAAATCTGTTCAGCATACATTGATCTGAATTTGAGTGTAGAGTAATTCATCGCTATTTCATCGTCAAGATTCTCCAAGTATTTAATAACCATGATGTACATTGTACAATGTACACGCATTTACTCCGTCACATGTTTCCGTGCCGGCCGTATTTAAGCGATATCTTATCACCTGATTAAGATATCGTTATGTGACAAAGTTAGCCTAGAGGATGATACGATTATCCTAACCATCAAGGGGTTATGTAATTTCATAGTGTGACAAATTCAACTACACTGTGCCATTTAATAGGGTCACTTATATTTACCAATATCCTCAAACTCAAATGAACTTCATACGATACGTGTGATAGGAATTAGGATCATATGCTGCTTACGAGTTACCCGGTGGATCACACACTGCATACGTGGCTTGAACTGACCCGAAGGAATTATGATCAGTAGATGACTTCGAAATACATAACGTGAACCGACGAATCGGGTCCACAAGATCACTTCGAAATAAGTTACGTGAAAAGACCCGACGAATCGGGTCCACAAGAAGGGCACTCTAGTGCTCTAGGATCTGACCTGAACTTGGAAATAAGACAGGATACTTGGATCGTAGTGCGACACATACTGTAGTGCGAAAGAGGGTGTTCTTGTCGGACTTCGCACTAGAGTACTTGTCGCACTAGAGTACTTGTCGCAGTAGAGTACGTGTTGCACTACAGTACGATCACCTTCATGTTGTTAAATTGGTCTCATTACAGGAAATTTACCGAGCGCAACTTTAATTTTACCACTCACTGTAATTTGATTCATATGTCTTGCCAATTTTGGTGTCCATAAAAAAACTTCCTCTAGGCTGCGTGCATATCAAAGGACTACCGTCTTAGATTTTGTTAAGAGGGGTTAAGTCAAGCGTACGATGGGCACCCTCCCCAGTTACACTTTAATTAAGTAATTAATAAAACATAAAAAGTAAAATCCTTCTGACTCCACTGGCACTCACTGTAATTTGATTCATATGTCTTGCCAATTTTGGTGTCCATAAAAAATACTTCCTCTAGGCTGCGTGCATATCAAAGGACTACCGTCTTAGATTTTGTTAAGAGGGGTTAATTCAAGTGTACGATGGGCACCCTCCCGGCCCCAGTTACACTTTAATTAAGTAATTAATAAAACATAAAAAGTAGTAAAATCCTTCTGACTCCACTGGCCCTGGATTATTGTGTATTTAACAGACACAGTATGATGGTTGATGGGTAGCACTGACTTGTTACTCACTTTGTTAAGAGACACAGTATGATGATTGATGGGTAGCACTGACTTGTTACTCACTTGTTAAGAGACACAGTATGATGGTTGATGGGTTGCACTGACTTGTTACTCACTTTGTTAAGAGACACAGTATGATGGTTGATGGGTTGCACTGACTTGTTACTCACTTGTTAAGAGACACAATATGATGATTGATGGGTTGCACTGACTTGTTACTCACTTGTTAAGAGACACAATATGATGATTGATGGGTTGCACTGACTTGTTACTCACTTGTTAAGAGACACAGTATGATGATTGATGGGTTGCACTGACTTGTTACTCACTTTGTTAAGAGACACAGTATGATGATTGATGGGTTGCACTGACTTGTTACTCACTTTGTTAAGAGACACAGTATGATGATTGATGGGTTGCACTGACTTGTTACTCACTTTGTTAAGAATCACAGTATGATGATTGATGGGTAGCACTGACTTGTTACTCACTTGTTAAGAGACACAGTATGATGATTGATGGGTTGCACTGACTTGTTACTCACTTGTTAAGAGACACAGTATGATGATTGATGGGTTGCACTGACTTGTTACTCACTTTGTTAAGAGACACAGTATGATGATTGATGGGTAGCACTGACTTGTTACTCACTTTGTTAAGAGACACAGTATGATGATTGATGGGTAGCACTGACTTGTTACTCACTTGTTAAGAGACACAATATGATGATTGATGGGTAGCACTGACTTGTTACTCACTTTGTTAAGAGACACAATATGATGGTTGATGGGTAGCACTGACTTGTTACTCACTTTGTTACGAGACACAGTATGATGATTGATGGGTAGCACTGACTTGTTACTCACTTGTTAAGAGACACAGTATGATGATTGATGGGTTGCACTGACTTGTTACTCACTTGTTAAGAGACACAGTATGATGGTTGATGGGTAGCACTGACTTGTTACTCACTTGTTAAGAGACACAGTATGATGGTTGATGGGTTGCACTGACTTGTTACTCACTTGTTAAGAGACACAGTATGATGGTTGATGGGTAGCACTGACTTGTTACTCACTTTGTTAAGAGACACAGTATGATGGTTGATGGGTTGCACTGACTTGTTACTCACTTTGTTAAGAGACACAGTAAGATGATTGATGGGTTGCACTGACTTGTTACTCACTTTTTAAGAGACACAGTATGATGATTGATGGGTTGCACTGACTTGTTACTCACTTTGTTAAGAGACACAGTATGATGGTTGATGGGTAGCACTGACTTGTTACTCACTTTGTTAAGAGACACAGTATGATGGTTGATGGGTAGCACTGACTTGTTACTCACTTTGTTAAGAGACACAGTATGATGGTTGATGGGTAGCACTGACTTGTTACTCACTCTGTTAAGAGACACAGTATGATGATTGATGGGTAGCACTGACTTGTTACTCACTTTGTTAACAGACACAGTATGATGGTTGATGGGTTGCACTGACTTGTTACTCACTTGTTAAGAGACACAGTATGATGATTGATGGGTAGCACTGACTTGTTACTCACTTTGTTAAGAGACACAGTATGATGATTGATGGGTTGCACTGAATTGTTACTCACTTGTTAAGAGACACAGTATGATGGTTGATGGGTTGCACTGAGTTGTTACTCACTTGTTAAGAGACACATTATGATGGTTGATGGGTTGCACTGACTTGTTACTCACTTTGTTAAGAGACACAGTATGATGATTGATGGGTTGCACTGACTTGTTACTCACTTGTTAAGATACACAGTATGATGATTGATGGGTAGCACTGACTTGTTACTCACTTTGTTAAGAGGCACAATATGATGATTGGTGGGTTGCACTGACTTGTTACTCACTTGTTAAGAGACACAGTATGATGGTTGATGGGTAGCACTGACTTGTTACTCACTTTGTTAAGATACACAATATGATGATTGGTGGGTTGCACTGACTTGTTACTCACTTTGTTAAGAGACACAATATGATGATTGATAGGTTGCACTGGCCGTTGATAAACTGATTAATATTAGACACGAGAACAAAGGATACTCACAATCTACAAATGATAGTAAATAAATAGTCAATCAATACAGTCAATAAACAACTTGTCACAACTGAGTTTATCTAGATATTAGTCTGCTAGGGTCACACTGCTAACGCTCTTTCTCACATACACAGCTGACTAACACTCTGTGTAGTCAAGCAGCATACAACAGGCGTGGCTAGCAGCTCCTAGAACAGCACTGGTACACCGTACAGCAACCTCCAACGTCTGGTAGAATAGCAGCCTCCAAGATCACGTCATTTTCCTACAAGGAATTAAATTACGTTAGTATGGTATTTAATGAATAATGATGTACTTATCATCATTAACAGCCGTTACTCACTTTGTGAGTGCTGAATTGACGCTGGAGGATGTTAGCAATCACTTCAGGATTGGTGCAAGTTCTCTTGGCTTCATTGAAAAGCATTGGAATACTGCGTTTCTGCTTAGAGAACTTTTTAGCATAGCTGTAGATTTTGGATTGCCGTGCACTTTATCTACCGCCTGTTGTTCACGGTAGTTAAGGTCGTGGTTTATAGCGTCTCGCATGTCAGCGTACACACTCGAAATCTGGTTTCTAAGTGACTCCAAGTGAGCTGTTGTAGCGACTGGATTTTGTTCAGCCAAATAAAACTGAAGTTTTAATTTTCGTTTCTTGCGAGACAATGTATAAACCGGTGAACCCCGCCTTTTGCTAGATGCCTTTTCCCTTGGGCACCCCATCTCACATTTCTGAAAAAGGACAAGGTTCAACAGTTCAGGAAATTCTTCAGGATCACAAAGTGCATTGTTCTTTAAAACACTGCTTGTGTTGAACCGAGTTTTTGCAGTGCTTTGGGTGGAAGAGCTGACACCCTGAACCTAAAGTACAGCCCCCATTAGAATCAGTGCCGAAACGTGTAAACTTTTTACAGCGCTTAGGATGAAGCTTGCTGCATGTAGTTTTACCCTGGTGGAGAGTCCGTCCACTTATTCCGTGAGGGCATTTCCCCATTGTGTAGTCAACACAGATTGTATAATCCTCACTCGGTTTGATAGCCGTTTGTTGTTGCTTCTGCTGGTGAACTACATCCAGTTTCTTCTAGATAGTTCATCTGCGTCGATATCCAGCTGTTTATTTTCATTAGGAGTTGCCGTCTGTGAAGGATGGGTTGAAACCGCTACACTAGCAGTTGAAGGATAGCGGTGGCGATTTGATTTGGAACGCTTGCTGGGCACAGGATTATTGTGGCCTTTATGTGGTCCGCAGGGCGGAGGAACCGCCACACACTTCTCACCCAGCTACGAATACAATGTATTGTTTTTTGTATATTAGAGCTTTAGCCACAGGTAGGTTGGTCTGTACGGAGCCCCACAGTTTTAATTCCTTGTTTAACTAGCCGTACAGCAAGGAAAGAAAACAGCTGTGTCGTAATTGATTTCCTGGAATAGATCTGTCAATCGTACTTAGATAAATTAAACTTATCTGTTTGTAGGGTGCTGTGGGCCACTATTCCTTTAACTTAACAGATAATTACAAGTCGTCATGAGTATTTAATCTACGTAAAGGTGTCCTAGGGTTAACAGTTAAAAAGAGAGACCGCTTCATAACACTCATTACTTTACAATGTAGAGCCCTTATTTAATTTATAATTACCGCGGTGTTTACACTTTACAAGCATATGTCAATATGTTCATTATATGCAAGCCTCTTGATTTATATAATGTAGACGGTTGGCTACTTTCACTGCCTGGAAATTGATGATGAAACTCTTTTACCGTATATCTTATTTGCCCGTTTTTTAGTTGTGCTGAATTAACTGATACTACTTCACTTTGCTAGTTGTTGAAAAATCTTAGAAGTTTAAACACTGTAAGATTTTAAAAGTACTCGAATGCAGGAAATGGCGCGAAATGATACGATGGATCAAACGAAAGTTAATAAGACCAATACAACCGACATTATAAACAATAATACAAATGATGCTATGGACTTACTTGCAAGTTCCTTCCTCTACACAATGATTCCACTGAATCTGGTGGTTGGTGTAACTATCATCATCCTTAACTCTCTAGTCGGACACTTCTACAGAAAAGGTAAACGTAGCACCGCTGCTCTGCTCTATACCTACCTTACCGGCTGGGATGTCACCATGGGTGTCACCGCGGTGATACACGCAGTCTACATGATAATTACGGTGACATCAGATGTGGAAGCAGTGGAAGAGACCATGAAAGTATTAGTTTGCGTAGTGTACGTGATGACGAATCTAGCAGGTAGGTTGAGTGTCTTTGCCAACACAGTGTTGAGTGTGGTGAGAACCATCAACATCTCCCAGCCTTTCTACCGAGTCAGAAGAAGGAATCTACACATTGTGTACTGGGTGTGCTTTGTCTTCATTCTGATCCTCTGCGTTATTGATTTATGGCACCTTCTAGTTTTAACTGAGAAAATCCCCATCATGAGATTTCACGCAAAGATGTTTCTCAATCCAGCTTTAGGATCTAGTCTCTTGGAACAGGCTCTAGATGATGGGACAAAAAATTCGGTCCCCTTAGTCGTAGAGTCAAGTGTGTCGAACATCTTCTACCATTTAGCAACACTGATTGCTATCATCTGTCTGGTAATCCAAAGTAAAGTGTTACTTTTTAACTCTGATAGAAAGCATTTGATCAATGGAAAAGTTGGACCAGCCAGTGAAAACAATGTAAACCGAAAAAATGGACAAGAAAGTGGAGTAGAAACTGAGGGAGAAAAATCTGAAGAACGGAAATCTGAGTGGAAAACAACCATTACCATCATACAGTTGACCAGTGTTTTCTGTTTGTGTAATACTGCGTACTCTGTTTCTGTGATCTGGCTGTTTGGGGACACTCAGAAACATGGTAGACCTGAAGGCCCTAAAATATCTGATCGCCTGATTTTATATGTCACTTCAGGCTTAGTTCCTTTTCTGAACAGTTTGATTAATCCCTTGATCCTTATATTTAGAAGTGACAGCATCAGGGTGTTTGTGAAAGCTCTCCTTGGACGAAAATGAGGCAATAACAACATTGAACGACGATTATTGAACAAGTTTCCCGAATTCAATGTAAACTGAACCCACCAGTCATCCGTGCTTTGTTTAAATACTAAAACTAAGCAGCTCGACTTTGTGGCGGTAAATTATGGCAGGATCTGTTCTGAGATCAGATGGATCTAGATACAATGATACCAAAAATTGTTGATTTTGTTAATTGGAGAACTGCAACTATTGATATCTTGACTTAGTGTAACGCTAGGAGGTTGACTCTGACTTGCCCAATGCAGCTAATAACGAAGACATTGCTGTGTTAAATTTTCCTTGTCTAGATGGACAATGACCATCACTTGGTACATAATGTAACACAACTATTAGTTATTCACATTTTACACTGCTAATAATAATAATCTCATTCAATATTGAGTTTTTACACCCTATTTCCCATTATTAGTCTTCAATAATCTCAACAAAGCAACATCTCATAGCGTATCGTCAATATTATACAACAAGTTCTGTGTCATTAGGCCCAACAATTCTCTACACTCGCAGACATCGTCCCATGTGCTAACTCGCTCTACTGTTTTAACCGTTTACAATTCGTTTGGTTGATTATTTTCTGTGTGTTTGCTGTTTGTGTGCTCTTTCTCGCTAGGAAAAATTGTATCTGGGATGTGTTTGGTCAAACTTGATACATTTTAGAAGACAGCTTCATTTGTGAACATGATATAATGTAAAATGATAACATCAGGCGATATCTGAGTTTAAGTTGATCGAACCTTAAATCTGTACGTTTTATTTCTTTAAACTGCTGGAAATATGAATGAAATAAAATGATACATTGTAGTGGATCGTTTAAATTATGTGAGTTAAAACTTGTATCTCTGGTTTGTGATAATAAATACAGCAAGCAATAGCTGTTGGTCCTCAGACATCAATTAACTTAGAAATATAAATTAATTGTACATAGACCACCAAACTTTCAACCGTCTAGTCCTCAGTCTACACGTTCGACTGATTGAGCGTTTCTCAAACCCCTCAGGGGCCTAATGACCGTAATTAAATTAATAGATCCAGCACGCTACCCGTTCGTTTCCAACCTAATACCGCTCAAGCTGGTATATTAGATGTGTGTCACGTGCACAGGCCATCTTCCAGATGAGTTCCTCCTTTCTTTGACATTAGTCAGCTTCTTTCTTCACGGCCCACGTTTCCAGTTCCATTTCCCACCGGAAATACGTCTAACAAGCTGATTGTCGGATCATCTCACCAACTGCAAACCTTCAGCTGGTCACAATACCCAATCAGAAGCGTTTATTCGAGACTTCAACCAATCAGAGGAGTGTATGGGAGACTTCACCCTATCAAAGTATAGTGTATTCGAGACAGGGTCCAATCAGAAGTCACCAGATCATGTGACCATCACGTGTTTGTTTGGGCTCGCAAGCAATAAGTGGTGATCCCTGGTAACTCGGTGGCGGGATATCTCGTTATATACTCGTGTAATCGGAGCTGAGTTAGTTTAGACAGTAGTGCGGTTTTGTAGTGACACTAATTGTACATTGGATAACAGATCGACTTACGTATAAACTTGTTGTGCACCTCAATCAGTCGGACTATATATTGAGATATTATCGAAGTTCCTTCTCATTATCAGTTCAACTCTTTCGAACTTCTTCTGTTCAAGTTTACTTCCGATTTGTCCACCATGAAGCTGAAAATCTTTACTTCCTGCGCTCCTTCAAGGAACAACCAGCTAGATTCCTTCAAACGTCGCTACTCTATCCAGTCCAAACTCGGCGAGGGAGCTTTTGGCGACGTATTCTGTGTCCAGTCTCGGAAATCCAAGATGAAGTACGCTGCTAAGGTTGTGAAGAACAAGAAACAACAGGACATCATTCTACAAAACGATGAGTACGTTCCTATGGAGGTTTGGGCTCTGAAGCGACTCTCTAGTCATCCCAACATATCCACCTTCACCGAGCATCATGAAATTAAGGACAAGCTAGTGATCATAACAGAACATCTCGAAGGCTACAGTGACCTATTCGACCACATCGAAGAGCACGGAAGACTGACAGAGTTGAGAGCTAGGAACGTTATTAAACAGGTGGTCGATGTTATCGGGTTCTGTTTCAAGATGGGGGTTGATCACCGAGACATAAAGGAGGAGAACATCATGTACAACCCAGCCGGAGATCAGATCAAACTTATAGACTTTGGTTCTGCCTCAGTTCTCTCAAAACATCCCTACCGTCTTGTCCGAGGAACTGACATCTACATTCCTCCAGAACATTATCTTTACAACAAGTACTATCCTCGACCTGGTGCTGTGTGGGCTATAGGGTGTCTAGCGTTCTGTTGTCTCTCTTCCTTCACTCCCTTCACATCTATCAACCAGATTGTTAGCACTGGACCAGATTGGAGCTTGATGGCGCACTGTCTGGACGAATCGTTTGATTTTGTGAAGTGTTGTTTGAAGACTGACGAGAAAAAGAGAATGCCATTTCACATGATGAGACATCACGTTTGGATATCCGACAGAATTGAGGAATTGTCCAACTTGGAGCTAGAATGCTCTATTTAGCAAAGTTTTATCATTTTTATTTTGCTCTGTTTTAAGGGCCCCAATTTATAGTGAGTTTCATCGATTTTATGTATTATTTTGATAAATCATTGCGTCTTTTGTTCACCAAAAATAAGAACTGGATGGATAAGCCTCTAAAGTCTAAAATTAAAAGAGTAAAGATTTAAAGAATACAAATTACTATCTTGCTGATCTTCAACTTACCCAGATTCATAATCATTAATCATCAATAAAAGTAAAAGTTACCTCCAGCTCCAGTATTTGAAACTTTAAAAGCAGGCTAACATGTCATCTGGGTGTATGGTTGATTTGCACTATTTAGATTGTCCCCCAAACTATCTGGTAGCTACTCCTGTTACTCCAATGACTTTACAGGGGTGCCTGGTGTGATGGAGGCATACAAGAGTTCCCTCTTGTACGTAGGACTATCAGGACCAACCAACTGTGCTCCAATGATACGGCATGTTTCTAGACTTGCCATCACTGCCGCTCAGTCTCGAACTGCTCAGGTTAGGATTTACACTTTCTTTTAGTGCGGAGCGTAATGTGATGTAACTCTTGATTTGACCAACAATTACTGATGATGGGAACCTTCAACCTGGTCCTTCTTTAATCATAAAATCTATTGTGATGAAAATTGACTTCAGTAATTAAATTAAGTCGAATGGTATCCTTAACCAATGAGCCTGTAAAATGAGTTGATAGGCGTGAAAATTGAATCTCATCAAATTCAGCAGAATCTGTTATCTTCTGGGTGGAAGTTAGGTCAGACTGATTGAAGCCCCTATTGTGTCGATATGAGTGCCTCAACTTTGTATCACGTACGGTGTAGTGTTACCGGTCCGAAAATAACCGTCCTCAATTTCTCAGAACTATTACATACTCCTGATCATGACTGACGGTCAGTTTACTGACATATACGACTGTATCGGATCCATTGTGGAGGCATCCGATTATCCGATGAGCATCATTATTATTGGAGTGGGGAGCGCTGATTTTACCGACATGGAAAGGCTTGATGCGGACAAGAAAGCACTCCAGTTTAACGGCAGAAAAGCCTCCAGGGATATCGTGCAGTTTGTCCCATTCAAAAAATACGTCCACGTAAGTTGGGGGGGGGGGGGGGGGGGGGGGCCCAAGTTTCACTTAATCTAGAAATTAGGTCCCTTCTTAGTACGCCAAGATTTATAACCCTCGTCAACTTAAAACTCGTCCCATTGAATATAGACCTTGTTTGCAGTGTTTATCAGCACTACCGGGCGCTGTGTTAGCTGAGCTGCCCCGGCAAGTGGAGGAGTACTACAGAAAGAGGAGAATCACTCCTTTGTCTACCGAGCACGTGGGAGCAGCTGAAGGGGCAAGTGATGATAGCTCCATGTAGACGGCAGGTAATGTAGCTGGAACGTTGTTGGCGAGGTGGAAGATGGCGTTATCAAAATTGGATCTTACTGGCTCAAGTTAACTTTTACTGAATAATCAATATTTAATAGTTTTAATAAGACATAATTATAAATTGTTAAGAATAATTTTTTGACTTAAAAAATGTAGTGTTTTAATATCTAATTTGAACACATAAATGGACTGCTAATGGTCCTAAATTGCTTTTTATTCTTTATTTTATTTTGAATTTCACTTTTCAGAATTAACGATCGATCAATCAATTAAATTTATTTTTCCGCGAATGATTTATTTTAATTGTTAATTTCGAGCAATTTCGAATTCAAATACAGTATGTTATTTTAGTGTCCAGACTAAATTGACACAATTTCAATTTCAATTTAAATTCTCTGTATAGCTTTAAAACGAATTTAAAATATTGACCGTGGCGACGTCTTTTATTTTTAATGAAGAATTTTATTAAATTTTAAGGTAACAGGAAAATGTGTACCGTAATTCAGCTGAGTGGATTGTAATTAGTTTTCTTTGCATGGTAATGGTATTTGTACTCTCTGATGTTTTGTTGTGGTATTATCAAAACTTTTTTGGTCAATTGCAACCTGCTTTGGTTTACCTTGTCTTGCGACTGCAAATTAACTTGAAGATCTCGTTTTTTGCCAAACGCTTGGTAGCCATATACTGTAACTGTAGGAAAAGAAATCTGGTATATTTGAGTCAGTGCGGCAAGATCAGCTCATAGTCTTTAAAGAAATGAAACTGAAAAATCGAGCTTTATCTCCAACTACAACACTTATCATTGTGTGCCAAATTCATGGAGATTTGGCAATAGGGACATTAATAATGAGTTACTCCGGTATCCCTCAGCGGATGATGTGATCTGTTGGGACCTAGTATTTGACGAAGCCGACAGTACTGCTTCCTGACGCTTGGTTACCGTCAATTGGTTACACAGTCAGACACAAAACAAGTTCTGAAATTGAATACGCGCGGGTGCGCCGCGCTACAAATTTCTTTACAAACGTATCAGATTGATCGATGTACAATGTACTCCCAATGTCGCCGTGCGCACGAATTTCCTGTTACTGCATAGTGCTGTGACGCGAGCTATGGCCAGGAATCGCGAACAATTTCAGAATTTTATGCTTCAGCGCGGTTGAAATGTAGAAGGTATTTGCAATTAATGTTGAATAACTGCCCATATTTCAGGAGTGCCAGGAGTGATGGAATCATACAAATCATCTCTTCTGACTGTGGGACTATCAGGACCCACCAACTGTGCACCAATGATGCGGAATGTTTCCAGACTTGCTATCATTGCCGCTCAGTCACGGACTGCTCAGGTTATTTTAAAAACTTTTGTTTAATTTTACATCGGGACTACCAAACCTTTTCTAATCCTGTTAACATGTCAGTTCCTTGAACGGCTTCTGTTTCCATGGTTACTACTCCATCCACTCCACCGTCCTACGGGGATGTAGGAGGAATATCAGCGCTGGATTGTTGGGTCGTTATGTCTCCCTTTTATTTTTCATATTGATGATAAGTCTGTGATAAGTTGTACATTTATCATTAATAAGAACTTACCATTCCATTTTCTCAGCACTATTACGTACTCCTGATTTTAACTGACGGCCAGTTTACTGACATATACGACTGTATCGGAGCGATTGTGGAAGCATCCGATTATCCGATGAGTATCATTATAATTGGAGTAGGGAATGCTAACTTCGAGGATATGGAAAGGCTTGATGCGGACAAGAAGGCCCTTCAGTTCAACGGGAGGAAAGCGTCCAGAGATATTGTCCAGTTTGTTCCCTTCAAAAAATACGCCGGAGTAAGTCTTGACGTTTTCCGTCTCTTACTATTTACTATACAGATATTTCTGTCTTTATTTCGATTATTGTCCCAATTTCTTGTGCTCCCGTGTTTACTCACATGGAACAACCTATTTTCCTCAGAACTCGGGAGCGTTGCCGGGAGCAGTGTTAGCAGAGCTACCCAGACAAGTGGAGGAGTATTATAGGAAGAGACGGATAACACCCCTCTCCAAACTTGATGAAGAGAGCGAGGAAGAAGACTCGTGTCCGAGTGATAGTGAGTCTGAGTACTCCTACTGAATGTGAACTGTTTTAGTGTTTTAGTGTTTTAGTGTTGCAATGTTGTAGTGTTGCAATGTTGTAGTGTTGCAATGTTGTAGTGTTGCAATGTTGTAGTGTTGCAATGTTGTAGTGTTGCAATGTTGTAGTGTTGCAATGTTGTAGTGTTGCAATGTTGTAGTGTTGCAATGTTGTAGTGTTGCAATGTTGTAGTGTTGCAATGTTGTAGTGTTGCAATGTTGTAGTGTTGCAATGTTGTAGTGTTGCAATGTTGTATAGTGTTGCAAGTTTTAGTGTTGCAATGTTGTAGCATTGCAATGTTGTAGTGTTGCAATGTTGTAGTGTTGTAATGTTTTAGACTGATTTTATGATAACTGGAGAGTGAAGCTGTTTGAATTACCTTTTCTCAATCTCAACTCTAACTGGACATGCCGCCATATCAATGAGCACTGAGCTGTAGGCACCGGTAGCAATCCCAACTTTCCATTATGCCATTTTAACAGGTAGTTGTTATTACTCATTCTCTAAGTGTATGCATTATTTTAACCTTGAGACAAGTTAGGTTTCTTTCTGATAACTTATATCGGTTGTCAAGCAATTATTATTTGTTCTTTTTAGGTCATTTTAGTTTATTTCAGTTTTTTTTTGACTTATTTGTTTCTTTTGTTTTAGATTATATGTCATCTGTAAATGTATTATCATTAACAATTAGAATTTGTTTTGTTAATTTTCTGATGTATATTTGTGTAGTTATTAGCTGAATATTGACTTAATTATTTAAATGTTAAACTTATGTACTCAGGATCTTAACGTTTCAGTTTTAACGATTTATTTTATTTAAAATGTTATTTGTTTATTTGAGATGTTATTTATTCTTTGCATGGTATTTTTAATTGAGGGAGATTACATATTTGTTACCCGCCAGATATTGTTTTGAAGTTTCAGGTTCTTTTCAGTTTGAGCTCTTTTAAAATAAGTTATCAGATGTTTTCTTCATGTATTTATTTTTGTCAGAATAGCTTATTATGCAGTTTTAAACTTTACTTTTACCGAATTCAATCAGCTGTGATCATTTTTAGTTCTCAATAAAACTCAGATTTCTGCTATTAACAAATTATAAGGTATTTTTCCATTTTAAATACATGTTTAGTACAAATCATTTTTACAAGCACAATCAATCAAATTATAACACATCAAAAGAAGAGTTTTTCAGAGTTTAAACAATCATAACAAAACACTACAGTTCTGTGCACGCAAGAGTATAACAGAACACAGAGACGGAGACACACCGCGTCTCAATGGAGACACGGAGTATAACAGAACACTGAGACGGAGACACACCGCGTCTCAATGGAGACACGGAGTATAACAGAACACTGAGACGGAGACACACCTCGTCTCAATGGAGACACGGAGTATAACAGAACACTGAGACGGAGACACACCGCGTCTCAATGGAGACACGGAGTATAACAGAACACTGAGACGGAGACACACCGCGTCTCAATGGAGACACGGAGTATAACAGAACACTGAGACGGAGACACACCGCGTCACAATGGAGACACGGAGTATAACAGAACACTGAGACGGAGACACACCGCGTCTCAATGGAGACACGGAGTATAACAGAACACTGAGACGGAGACACACCGCGTCTCAATGGAGACACGTTTAGTAATCCTCATCGTCTCCGACATCAGCACTAGTGTCTGCGCTGTCAACAGCCACCTCCTCGTAGTCCCTCTCCAGAAGAGCAAGGTCCTCCCTCGCCTCTGTGAACTCTCCTTCCTCCATACCTTCTCCTACATACCTGAGCGAAGAAACTTGGGTAAACATTCTGGACAATATCTACTAAGAGAAATTGCTTACATTGTGGTGACTTCATCTTAATTCTTTAGTTAGGTTTTTGTCACCCTCGTGTGATTATCGCTTACTATTGCCCGTTTCCATGGTTATCGTTTATCTATTAATCACACATTAAATCGTATCCACTTACCAGTGAACGAAGGCTCTCTTGGCGTACATGAGATCGAACTTGTGGTCAAGACGAGCCCAAGCTTCCACAACAGCGGTGGTGTTTGTCAACATGCACACGGCCCTGCTAGGCTCAGCCATGTCTCCACTTGGGGGGATGGTGGGCTTCTGGTAGTTGATACCAACCTGTTGATAGGTACAATGTTTAACTCTTAACCGTTACAACATTCTTTGTGATATTTTAGAGTCACCAATGTATGTTATTCTCTTGCTGCTTACGCTAATCAAGTATTTGTAAATTTCAGGCTGTAAACTGACCTTGAATCCAGTTGGGCACCAATCCACGAACTGGATGGTTCTCTTGGTCTTGACATTAGCGATGGCGGCGTTGACGTCCTTGGGTACTACATCTCCCCTGTATAACATGCAGCAAGCCATGTACTTGCCGTGTCGAGGGTCACACTTCACCATCTGGTTAGATGGCTCGAAACAGGCAGCTGAGGGTGTGTTATCGGGTTAGTTACAGTTATTCGAACTCGTTCTATACTAATTAAAATTAAACATGAATTTATCAGCGTGTTATACATTTCAGTAGCAAATCAGGATAATAGAGTGTATAATATTGTGATGATGTGTTCTAGCTATCAACTAACCAGTAATCTCGTTGACAGACAGCTGCTCGTGGTAAGCCTTCTCACGGCTCATTACAGGAGAGTAAGTAGCCAGAGGGAAGTGGATCCTGGGGTAGGGCACCAAGTTGGTCTGGAACTCTGTCAGATCAACGTTCAGAGCTCCATCGAATCGGAGGGATGCTGTGATGGAGGAAACTACTTGACCTGAGAGAGGTTAGGATTGTTAGTTTATATTACGTTTGTAGTGTGTTAGTAGTGTGTTAGTTTGTTTTAATTCACAAACATTAAAGCCAGTCGTGTTAGTTTAACAACAGCTACTTTCTCTACGGTAAACACTTTAAAAGCTAGACACAGCACGTACTTATGAGTCGGTTGAGGTTGGTGTAAGATGGTCTCTCGATGTCCAGGTTCTTCCTGCAGATATCGTAGATAGCCTCATTGTCGACCATGAAGGCACAGTCAATGTGCTCGAGGGAGGTGTGGGTGGTCAAGGACGGAGTTGTAGGGTTCCACAACTGCTGAACTGATCTGAGGGATAGGTAGGGGGAGCAATCCAACATCAAGATTCAGGGCTCTTTGTTCGGCTAAATTTCCAGAACATGGTAGAATGTTCTGGATTAATGTGAAGGGCTAGCCTGAAGCTTGATGCTCAGAGTTGCTCCTGTTTGTAGGATAGAACTAACTTACAGCTAAAACTGGTATGACAAGGTAGCACACTTCACATCACGCTCCTCAGACTCGCCCCCACATTTCACATTTCACATTTCACATTTCACCCTACATTTCACTTACACGGGCACTTCTCTGACACACTCACATTCACTGTTCACTATTGTCGTACAACTCACTACACTCTCGTTATTCTTACACACTGTTTACACACTATTTACACACTATTTACACATGACATTGATAAAGCACATGCTGAACTAATGCTGTTATATTCCAATCACTGGGACACATAATCATCACATCTACAAGACCACAGCTCGATCACGAGATATAAACATGTCACGTGTGACCAAATGTGGTAAGATCACGTGATAATATGAACATCACGTGTGATAATATCACAAGGGATCAGCACGTGTTGGTTGGTGAAAGTCCTCACCTTTGTTCGCCCTTTTCGCTCACAGCCCACGGAACATAGTGCTGCTCTCATTTTACTCACAACTCTCAGTACACTCTTTTCAGACGTTATTTTGGGATTATTTATTCAGTGCAGTGTAATCAATCACTTTATTTACTTTTACTTTCTTGACGTAAGTATCGATGTTGTTGATATGTTATTTGGCATATAATCATATTATCTGTGCATTATGAGCATATTATCTGTGCATTTAAATTTCTCACGTTCACACCCACTCTTCGCTAATCACTCTAGCAGACATATTCACTATTCAGACAGTTGCAGGGGCTTCTCAGCTACAATTAGCGACAATCACACGTAAAAGCTAGCGATGATCAACAGCTATTGAAGGAATTACTAGCTAAATAGCTAAATGCTTTAAACAGTACAGTAATGGTAAATACGATCATAAGAAGTGATAAGTGTGCTTAAGATACTAGTATAAAAGCTTCGACGCACACAACTACTATTCACACGCATCGTTACACCCAAGTTACCACACATACTTTACACACCTATATTACCACATACTTTTACACCACACCAGTTACCACCATCATTACACCCACACTTTCCCACAATTTTACACCACACAACATTTACACCCTACATTACCAACCAGTTACCCAAAAATGTTCAACACCATACGTTTCACCAACCTACATTCCACCCTACTATTTACACACACATACTTTACACCCATGTTCACACACACTGATTCACACACACCATACTGTTTTACACCACACCATACTGTTTTACACCACACCATACTGTTTTACACCACACCATACTATTTTACACCACACCTACTATAACCCCACACCATTTGTGTATTTCACACCACACCATACTGTTTTACACTGCACTGCACTGCACTGCACTGCACTGCACTGCACTGCACTGCACTACACTGCACTGCACTACACTGCACTGCACTGCACTACACTACACTACACTACACTACACTACACTACACTACACTACACTACACTACAACTACACTACACTACACTAACACTACACTACACTACACTACACTACACTACACTACACTACACTACACCACACTTCACCACACTACACCACACTACACCACACTACACCACACATACACCACACTACATACACTACACTACACTACACTTACACTACACTACACTACACTACACCCACACTACACCACACTACACCACACTACACCACACTACACCACACTACACCACACTACACCACGCTCAATAAGACAATGCCACCTACTGTGGGAGCTGGGTAGACGGAGAATTGAAGTTTGCTCTTCTTCCCATAGTCCACAGACAGTCTCTCAGCCAGCAGGGATGTGAACCCAGATCCGGTACCTCCACCGAACGAGTGGAAGATCAGGAATCCTTGCAGACCTGTGCATTGGTCAGCCTGAAATGAGGTTTAGGGTTGCTAAATAGTTGAATAGTTCGTTCAAATTTGGCCGGAAATACCGAAAGCTAGACAAAAATTCTTTAAGTTCAGTATCAGAGAGCAAGCGAAAATACGGTGTGTAGATTAAATGTGCTGCTGTATTTGTAGTGGGCTGAGCGGCGAGGCAGCGTTTCATCAGCCTGTCAAGCTCCGTAAGCTCGCTGATTGAACGGTGCTAGAAATACTGACACGTGACCCGGTCTAAGGCTTCTCATTGGCTGAACGAGGCGCTATGTGCAGCTCTAGCTGTCACCATGGAATTTAAAGTTTGATTCGACCTTGTTTTGTACAAAACTTGTGGAAGTTTCTATGGCATCCCCTTCAAGTCTCTTTTCTGTATTCCGCTAAATTATAGTGCAGGTCACATGTCATGGCTAGGTGGTCTGGGAATTTAATTTTCTGAAAAAGTTGAAAAACTCACCAGTTTCCTGACTCTGTCCATGACCTGCTCGATAACCTCCTTGCCGACCGTGTAGAATCCTCGGGCGTAGTTGTTAGCAGCATCCTCCTTGCCGCTGATCATCTGCTCTGGATGGAAAAGAGAGCGATACTCCCCTGTTCGCACTTCGTCTGAAATGTCACCGGTTGTCATTACTTGCTAAATGTTCCCTCTGCACTTGAGACAGTGCTCTTCTAGGACCCAGTGCGAGCTGAACACTGGGACTCCGTGGTTATGTCAAGCTGTACAGTATTGGATCGGTAATCTTACGGATTGCCGCTCAGGATTAATAATACTATACAGATTCCTCAGTTCGGGGACCACACATTTCACACCTTGACATTTCACCCCTGCCATTATAAAGTATTTGGGAGGTGAAACGTCCGAAGTTGAAATGTCCGAGAACTGAATATCGGGTCCGGTCTGAGTGAACTGCTCGCACTGGGAAGATATCTGGAAATACCCGGAAAGTGTAGGCTTGATAAAGACTAGGGAGGTAATAATAACCTCCCTAATAAACACCCTACCAATAACAGTTGGTTCTAAGTCCAGGAATATGGCACGTGGTACGTGCTTCCCTTTCCCTGTCTCCGCGAAGAACGTGGAGAAACTCTCATCCTTTCGTGCGATCGCGTCCGGTTTGATGGTTCCGTCCTGGAAAAAACAAATAATCTTAAAATGTTAAACTTAATTACCGATGACAGTTGGTTCAAGATCCAGGAAAATCGCACGTGGGACATATTTCCCTTTTCCCGTTTCCGTGAAAAACGACGCAAAACCGGAGTCGGCAGGTCGTCCAGACTCGCTCTTGACAGTGCCGTCCTGGTGAGGTAAGAGTGTGTTGGGTACATGGGACAAAGAGCTCGAGTCATGAGAGTGCAGTGCGCGGCTTCTCCGTTAATAAGAGCGTTCTCATTTAAGAGGCTGGTTTCAATCACAGAATTTTAAAATTTGGAGTGTTAGAACTATTTGGTTGAGGATTAGAATTTATTCTTTGGTTGAAAGCTTAAACAAGTTGTTGGACTGTAGGCTAATTCCAAGGTTCTGTACCGTAATGGGAACACTGGTGTGACTTTTTTGTAGCGTCTTCTGGAGACTGGTGTTATCCACTTCATAATAAACCTCCCTTGTATCAAACAAGTTCCCCTTCACGTCTTGTGTCAAACAAGTAAACCTCAAATAAACCACAACTACAAAAACAAACAAAAACGAAACAAAGTTAACTGAGAGCCATATGGGAGCGCTTATCACTAGACCCTGTGAAGAGCTGACTTAAGAGCTGGGTGCGGCGTCAGTTCAACTGTAGAAAATTGCAGCAAGTTCTGGTGCCGCCTGACTGTATTAGCTGGAGAACGGTTAATTGAGTTAATTGGCCGGGTGGAGTGAGCTAGTCCAATGACTGAGTTGCAGCTCACATCCGGGTGCAAGGCCAGCCATCCAATGCAAACACAGGTCCAATAATTGGGTTGGAAGCCAGCAACGCCGGAAGCATTAGGTCCGGTGTAGCTCAGCTGGCACAACCGGAAAAGTGAATTATAATCCGGCAATTTTCAAATTAGGTTCAGCCCAAAACCAATAATTCAAATGGAAGAACTATGAGCTAGCAATTTGCTTAAGCAATATTTTGCTAATTTTCCCCAATTTTATTGGAAAAATGGTTCAGAGGAAGGTTTTAATTTCAATTTGTTGTCTAATTTTTACCTAATATCAAATTTTATTGGATTTTGAAATTGCCTAAATTCAAATCAGATTTTTCATTAAACACAGAATTAGACAGAATAATTAAGATATTATTTTTGCCAATGGTTCAGTCAGATCAGTTAGCTCTCGTAAAATTATATATTGAAAAGAGGAGACAAGAATATGGCCCTATTAATGAAGCCATCACCTTCCTGATAGTTGTAAGAAAGGAGAGTTTAAAAAAGGATTACACTCGATATGACCAGTAGATGGAGTTGATGGTTCATTTTCAGACTTCATGATTAAAACTTTGAGCTGCCATTTTACGGAGACCCTCCTTTAAAAACGTCTGATTAGGATCAGATGTTCCTCCTTAGGGTACCAAATGGTTTTCGGAAAGTGTTTTGTTGGTTATTCTAAAGAACTATAATGATGGGTACAGCTCTTGGCCTAGAATACGAGCCTAGTAAAATGTGGTACTTTTTGTGGAAATCTATTCGTTTCCTTTTCTTTATTTTTAGGATCTCATTATTATTAAGATGATGATTATTCCAGTGATACGCACATAGCCTTTGGAGTTGAAATTTAGGGGGTTTATTACCACCCAATGAAAACGTCCAGAAGTTATTCGAGGAAAGCAGGTTTTGCATGAGGATTGAGGCTGAATGAACATAAAGAATGCAAAACAAGCGGAGAAAAATTCAGGAGAAATAACCTTCATATCGACCTAATAAAGGTGAAGAACCTTCAAATCATTTTCTAATCTAACTGATAGATAAAACTAAAAGAAGTGATAGATACAATTAAAAGTAGTTGATTTATGTTGGCTGAGGCCGTGTCTCACCTTTTCAATACCATGCTCCAGACAGTAGAGCTCCCAACAAGAGTTACCGATCTGGGTTCCTGCCTGGCCGATGTGAACGTTGATGCACTCTCTCTGCAAGAGGGGGTGTGTAAGTAGTGTGTAATTAGTGTGTAAGTAGTGTGTAAGTAGTGTGTAAGTAGTGTGTAAGTAGTGTGTAAGTAGTGTGTAAGTAGTGTGATGCACTCTCTCTGCAGGAGGGGGATTTAGGGGGATTTAGACTATTATTTAGTATTTACTTTAGAAGGTATCGAATTTGACAATGTAGGTCATCTGTCTTCAATTTATGTGATTGTTACCAAAGGATAAGGTGTTAAAATTATTTCTATTTAACTTCGTAACATGCCAGGTATGGCTTATCTTAAAAAATTTAACGTGAGAGGCTACAGCAGATATCTCATATCATAGAGTGATACTTGAAATCATCCACTAATTCCCAAGATACCGCAAAATAACATGTATTAATTATTAATATTAACGATCATAAAGGTTCGACGGTTCGACAGTCTCGGCTTTAAACTAATTGTAAAAGTAGTGCCAAGTTCTATTAGTATTGATATAAAGTCATTAAGTTCTATTAATATACAAGTTATAATTAATAATTCCGTTTAGAAAAGCCATGGTAAGTTATGTTGGGAACGGTTGAAGACAGATTTTAAGATAATTATTAATTATAACGTTTTCCTTTCCACAAAGCTGCCAACCAAGAACAACCATATATCATGATATCATGAATTTTATTTAATTATTAACTTTTCTCTGGATTTATGGTAAGTAAGTTAGACACACTCGTTTAGAAACAATTAGCATTGTCTAAGCTGACGAATATTGTTAAGGTATCTTTATTTTGTTTACACTCGGTCACTTGTCAAGGCATGTAAGGTCATTCGGCGAATTTTCTTTGAAATAAAATGATGTATTTGTGTAACATTTTGAAAGTTTATTGATAAAAAACAGTTATTGGGGATAATAATATATGAATTAATATACACAATCTTTATACCATATTAAGTGAAGTCAACGGTACATACATGATACATTTAACCGTTATAGTTCAGAAACCATATCATTTTAATTCTTTTAGAAGATTCGTCAAACGTAAATTTAGTGAATGAAATGAAAGGCTAAACCAGCAAAACCGCAAATTGTGGTTTTACTTTTATGTTTAATCATACTAAAGTCTGTTATGTCTCGTTGATTAAATACTGATATAAAAAAGTAAAAGTTTGAATACTAACTACTAACAGTGTACTACTACTACTACTACTGCTTGAATAGTGCAGCTATATTGTATTGGGCCTAATACGACTGCAGTACATTTCATATATTAGGACTACTATAATGAAACTACCGGACCACGATGTATGGGGACTTGCCACCCCATGGCAACATTAAAATATATCGACTCTGTTACATCGTATCCTCAAATTATTTTTATTATCCCAAACAAATAATTTTTTGAGTGTTGAAAGTATTAAAACTATATAAAGTCCGGGTGGAATTGAATCACTGCCCTCCAAAAGCGAGCGTTATATTAAAGCACTATAAATACACTAGATTATGTCAAGAATCACAACTTTAAAGTGAAGCCCTCGTCCAAAAAATCATCTTACCCGTCTAAATAACTTAATAAATACCTTATAAAGTCTAAATAACTTAAAATAAAATTAGGTACAGTCTCAACGATGTGATCTGAAATCCTAAAATCACTAATTCTTTCTTAACAAGAAGAAAGTTGAATTATTAAAATTGTGTAACATTCCTATTTTCAATACCATAGTTAAACTACCAATACCCTTATTGAATAACTATAGTTTACTTACCATGTTGAACTTGAATTTCTGTGAATTTCTCTAAACAACTTGAGTAACGATTGAAATAGAAAAAAATCAAAAACTAATGATATTCATTACGTTTTGCTCTTTATACCCGACCTCCTCAACCTATCAGAACCTGCCCTCTCAATCACATGACCAATATTGACCAATTAGGAAGCTCCGTAGTTCCGGAACTGCTTCGTTACACATTGTAACCCCTGTTGGTCACCTTTCTAATTAACGCAATTACTTAGCGCACAGAGTAAAGTTAAATCAGCCCCTGGATTCGTGAGGTCATTTTTACAGCGACACGGTTCTTTGACATGGTACCCAGTTATTTCTAAGCTTTTCAAGATGATGTCAGATTTTGTGGTTATTTCGAAATGCTTGTGAGATTATATTGAACATTTCGGTGTTCGGCTTGCATCTGTGTGTCACGTTTTAGTCACGTGATTATTTCTGCTTGAGGAAGCCCACCCTGGCGGATAACGCTCATTAAACCAATTAGAGTTTTATTCCGTGTACGGTAAAGTGAGAAATTTAACGAAAAGAACAATATTTTCTTATAAAGTGTTAAATTCATTGAAATCCTAAAGCGAATTTGTTGTCAAAAAAGCTTCTATGAGCCATGATATTAACAAATTAACAAATTTATGCTATATTTTGTCGTGATAGTGTATAATGAAACACGGCACGTAAAAATTTAAATAATCATGTTAACTATCTATATATCAAAAACAATCAATCAAACCACTCAATGATGTCTTCAAACTAGTGTTTTGAACTATAAAACTGTCTGTAGCCCCAATCATTCAGACATGTATGCTGACTGATCTGGAAATTAATCATATCAACGATCTCATCTAATATTGCTAAGCCATTTTGGACTCATCATGGACTCACTGTCTGGTCTCTTTAAGAAACTTCTCATTCTCTTTGAAACACAACCTCTTGATCTTGTGGTATTCAACTCCTGTGTTCAAAGTGCTAGTATAGACTATAGCAGTTCCTTCAAAAATCCGCTACTTTAAGCTTTCAAGCAGGAAAAAAAACGATTGCATTAACTTCATGTGTACGCGCGTTTCAGAGCATCTTGATGAGTTTGCTAGTGACAGGCAGGATATCTGTACTTCATTTGTAGGCGCGTTTCAGAGCATCTTGATGAGTTTGCTAGGGACAGGCAGGATATCTGCCCAGTATTCAGAGCATCTTGATGAGTTTGCTAGGGACAGGCAGGATATCTGCCCAGTATTTAGAGCATCTTGATGAGTTTGCTAGGGACAGGCAGGATATCTGTAGGCGCGTTTCAGAGCATCTTGATGAGTTTGCTAGGGACAGGCAGGATATCTGCCCAGTATTCAGAGCATCTTGATGAGTTTGCTAGGGACAGGCAGGATATCTGCCCAGTATTCAGAGCATCTTGATGAGTTTGCTAGGGACAGGCAGGATATCTGCCCAGTATTCAGAGCATCTTGATGAGTTTGCTAGGGACAGGCAGGATATCTGCCCAGTATTCAGACCATCTTGATGAGTTTGCTAGGGACAGGCAGGATATCTGCCCAGTATTCAGAGCATCTTGATGAGTTTGCTAGGGACAGGCAGGATATCTGCCCAGTATTCAGAGCATCTTGATGAGTTTGCTAGGGACAGGCAGGATGTCTGCCCAGTATTCAGAGCATCTTGATGAGTTTGCTAGGGACAGGCAGGATATCTGCCCAGTATTTAGGATGACAGTTCAAGTAACCAAAGTTCTGACCGGTCGTGTTTCTCCGACCTCTCTTGAGCACCGCCTCTAGCGGGTCCTCGTCCAGCTCTGAATCGTAGTCGTTATTGTCAAAGTACTCCTCATCCGGGAGACTGTTACCTGAGAGTTAGTAGTGTGTAAGTAGTGTGTAAGTAGTGTGTAAGTAAGAAGTGTGTAAGTAAGTAGTGTGTAAGTAGTGTGTAAGTAGTGTATAAGTAAGTAGTGTGTAAGTAGTGTGTAATTAGTGTGTAAGTAGTGTGTAAGTAGTGTGTAATTAGTGTGTAAGTAGTGTGTAAGTAGTGTGTAAGTAGTGTGTAAGTAGTGTGTAAGTAGTGTGTAAGTAGTGTGTAAGTAGTGTGTAAGTAAGAAGTGTGTTAGTAAGTAGTGTGTAAGTAGTGTGTAAGTAGTGTGCAAGTAGTGTGTAAGTAAGTAGTGTGTAAGTAGTGTGTAAGTAGTGTGTAATTAGTGTGTAAGTAGTGTGTAATTAGTGTGTAAGTAAGTAGTGTTTACTGTAATGTGTAAGTATAGACTATACACTATGTATAGATGTGGCTTAGGTTCCAATTACTTTTTAACTATGACAATTTATTAGTACATCTGATTTGCTAGAATTTATAACTTTACACTTTTACACAATCAATGGAGATTTAAAAAAACACAACGACCACAATGAAAATTCGGGGCACTTACTACTTATTGACTTACATCTGGGACTCTGCATGACACTGCCGGTTCTGCAGGCCCTGATCGGGTACTTCCCCGGGGTAATACTCTGTTTCTCCGGTCTAGACTTGAGAGACCCCCCTCTCTCGTGTATTGCGGGGGTTGAGGGCCCTGAGGTATGAGATCTTGTTTCAATTATAACTTTGAGATGGTACTCATATCAGGTGAGATGTTACTCATATCAGGTGATCATATCATTACGGTGGGGTAATTTAAGTATGATATTTATCAGTATACCATCACATACCCGCATTATGCTGTATATAATGACAGGGTAACATAGATCGATCCAATAATCTTAGATAAGCTAATAAAAATGCAAGATAAGAGAGCGTGTAAGACAGTGACCTGGTCGTCGTGAGGAGAGACTGCAGCTATTTTTAGGAGAAGTGTGGTACGTGCCACAGAATGAACAGCTCCAATCGTCAATCCTGCAGAGATATTGTTAGAGACCAATGTTAGTGACCACTGTTAGTGACCACTGTTAGTGACCAATGTTAGTGACCACTGTTAGTGACCACTGTTAGTGACCACTGTTAGTGACCACTGTTAGTGACCACTGTTAGTGACCACTGTTAGTGACCACTGTTAGTGACCACTGTTAGTGACCACTGTTAGTGACCACTGTTAGTGACCACTGTTAGTGACCACTGTTAGTGACCACTGTTAGTGACCACTGTTAGTGACCACTGTTAGTGACCACTGTTAGTGACCACTGTTAGTGACCACTGTTAGTGACCACTGTTAGTGACCACTGTTAGTGACCACTGTTAGTGACCACTGTTAGTGACCACTGTTAGTGACCACTGTTAGTGACCACTGTTAGTGACCACTGTTAGTGACCACTGTTAGTGACCACTGTTAGTGACCACTGTTAGTGACCACTGTTAGTGACCACTGTTAGTGACCACTGTTAGTGACCACTGTTAGTGACCACTGTTAGTGACCACTGTTAGTGACCACTGTTAGTGACCACTGTTAGTGACCACTGTTAGTGACCACTGTTAGTGACCACTGTTAGTGACCACTGTTAGTGGCCACTGTTAGTGACCACTGTTAGTGACCATGCCCAACTTTTCAGGATCCATTTACTGGCAGTTTGTCTGAACAATTGTAATTGATCCTACAGTAGCTTACAGTATGTAAAACTTCTAGGTTTGGTAAACTATGTCCGTCCGAGATCGCAAATTGAGTTAACTCATAAGAATACTAAACCTTTCTGATGTAGACAGGTATTTTATGTACGAACCACGGTCAACGATAATGAACTGTTGAACTGAGCGCGAGAGAGAGGAAGAGAGAGAGAGAATGTTTATAATTACCTGATAATTATCATAGAGAATTGACAAACCCGAGGCAAGGTCTACCTGTCCTTCAACTATAAGTTTTTGAGTATAAATTACTTTAATTGACTAAAAGTACAGCATAAGATCTGGTATTGGTGGTCGATTTTTAACGGCTATTTACATCAGACTTCTCGTCTGGCTCATCTCCAATTTCTCTTTTTATCCACATCCTCCTCCTACTCCCTCTCACATATCCTGTGTTAACAGGATATGAAAACCATAACTTTAATAAGAAAAATCCATACATCCATGTATAATAACACAAACTGGGCCGTTGTACTGTGGTCATCTCCCGGAGTCGGAGATTGTCTGAAATTTCAATCCGTTCTCTGAGTAGCTGAGGAGGTCCTGACCTTAGACTCAAACGTGACTTGAGCTATCACTTCTATTTCTCGCTCGTCTCAGTGTTGGTCCGCTGTATCCGTTATGTCATTTGTGTACGTTTTTGTGCTCGGAGTCTTGGTTTACTGTAGTTTAGGTAAGTTTGTTGTAGACAATTCATTGATAATTTTCCGGTTTTTATGTTATTTTTTACTTAAAGATTTGTTTGACTGTTTGCCAATTTATCGCTCCACAGAAATTGTGATGTTTATAAAAGTTAGAACTCGACAACAGGTGTGTACGTGAATGGAGGCGTGAGCTGCTTATCTAAATTATTAAATTTTGTCCATAGACCTCTTTGTCTCACGTGTCAAATAGAAGGGCCAGACCGCTTCGCAGCTTTGGAGGAAACACACACTGCGCGCGTGTTGGGCCAGGGAACGTCTGACCCCTTCTGTAGAAAGGGAAATCCGAGCTTCGTTTTCTTGCTAAAGGCCAAAGGGGGGGGGGGGGGGGGGGGGAGGGAGGGGGTTAACACTTATTTTTCAGTTTTTCAGCGACAAAGTTTTAGGTTTACCTGTAATTACTAGTAAAATATAAACCTACAATTGCTCTCCTAAACATAGGGTTAATATCAATTTTTGGAACAGAATGGCCGCCCCTGAGACATGAAACTTGGCATGGGCGCTCCTTGGGTGAATGCCCAAAAACAATTATGAACCGAATTTTGAATTTTACTTTTGTTCTTGAAATATGAGGATAACGGTTGGTCAGGAACGGTTGGTCTGAATTTAATGCTTTGTTTTTTTCCCACTTCCAGCAGCTCTTACACATATATCTGAAAACCGAAAAATAAATGTTCATCCTTCCCCCTCCCCTCTGGCCTTAATGACTAGCCGTACGGCTATGATCTTGATATCCACCAGGTCCATTTGGTTTATCGCATTGCGAGAGCAAAAATTTCATAATTTTGGTCGATCTTTTAGCTCACGCCTTCACTCTTAAATTGATTAGGCACTTTCATGAGACGCTCCTCACTCAGGTAGAATAACAGTTACTCGACAGCCGCCCTATCAAGGAGTATATCTCTACCAAGGAGTAGCAGCCGGTCTTAAGGGAGTCACGTGTCCCCATCTAGCAGATCCTAGCAATGTCACCCTTCAGACGATAGGCCAGGTTGGAAGCACCACCTGCAACTACCAAGGAACGAATGTCCCCCTTACATTCATAAAAAAGGAGGAGGGAACTGAACCTAGGACGAACCGCACCAACGCCAGATACTACCTGCTCCCAAGCAACACGACGCTCACTTCAGGTCCTCTTGGTTGGAACAGTGGTAATGTTGACGTACTCTGCTGGAATGGGACTGACTGGGAGACTCGTTATGGTTGGATAAACGAAGATAAGAAGAAAATATGTTGCGACAACAAGGAAGCTGATGATTCCTGCTCAGACATTATCTTTCTGGACGAAGAACTTGTGTTGGATGAACTGCAAGAAACCCTTGATGTAGGTTACGGGTTCCAGATAAACTACACGACCACCGTTTGGCCAAGAGAAGAAGTCAGGACGCTGTTAACCTGTGGAAACTACACCTGCTCTTTTAATGGAACTCGAATAGAATATGGAGACTGCACCCTCGACTTGGACTCCATAACCAGCAAACTGCCTTTTATTCAATACTTCGCACCAATACAAAGCCGCCCGAAACACCAATATCTCCATGAGCTCAACATAACTGTGCCATTCTTGACTAAAGATTTTGAAGGAGTTAATTATTGCGAGATGAGGCTACTGCTAGGAGGGGTAGATCAAGAGCTGGCTAGGTCTGTTCTGCCGCTGAATCTCGCCGTTACACCTCCCGTTGTATCTAGCCATTCTGATATTGGTCTTCTGGATGTTGCTGACTTTCAATACAAAGATCCCCAGTGCATTGGAGATGGCTGGCCACAAACTGACGGCAGTTGGTGGTATGTGAGAAAACAAGGTAAAACCAAAGAGATATCATTTAGTTCAAATCAAAAGGTGGCTGGGAAAGAGTTTCACTGCAAGGTTTCCCAGAACAACTCCACTGAAATGAAACATATGATGTTCATAAGCGTTCCTGAAACCAACACCCTCTCCCCGGACATGATGAAGATGATAGGACACACAGCAAGTGAGAGCATTATGTGTAAAATCGACATGACAGAATGGAGCTTAAATGCAACTTCACTGGGCTGGACTTTCCCCAATGGAACTGAAGATAGCTCCACACCTTCAGAACATGGTAAAGAGATCTGGCATATTCCTATGAAAGACGAAGGTATCTACAAGTGCTGGGCTGAGACTGGCAAGAAATGGGCTGAACCCGACCAGCAAGACACGTTCCGTCTGAGTAAAAATATCAGGGTCGAACTTAGACCACTAACTGCTGGTAGCAAACGTAAGTACCAATTCTAAACTCTACTTTGTATAATTTCGCAAGTTTTCCTATCGTCAACAAAATTATACGACTAATCATCCCAAAAACTAAAATTTTTGGAGCTTGGTGTTTCAATTACCATTAACAATTTACTCAAACAAATCCGTTAATAGCCCAGACCACCATACCAGATTCGACAACGATACCCGGTAGGAGTTGGAATGGGATCTTTTACTTTAACTCCCGCTTTCAATTTCGCTCTTTCTGTTTTATACGCTTCTGAATACTCTTCACTTCATTTTTGAAATGGCGTTTGACATTTTGCTTTGCGTGCATGCTAGTTTTTGATGGTTTCTTGTCTTCTGCGTTTTCTCTAAAAGAATAGGGTAGCCTATTTTAACACTACTTCTTGAATCTTAAGTTATCAAAAATACATTGCTGGGATATGCAATTATTTTCTGTCGCATGCCAGCTTGTAGTTGTATTTTCTTCTAATTCATGATCAAATAAATTTGACCTGACCCTTCAAGAATTTCGAAATGTCCGGTGCACGTTTATTTTTCAATTGGACCTTAATTATAGTCGAGCATCTAGGCTTTCAATATGCGTGTCTTATACGTCTGTACACAAAAACGAACCCTAGTGCTCATCATTCACGTCCTGTTCAGAAATTCATGTGCGCCCGATGTTTCAAAATATAATTTTGGGTCCCTGATTATTACACTGTACAAAAAATCGATACTAATTTATTTCCTTTCCTTCAGCTGGTATCACCATCCATTCCCCGATAAATAAAACTGCTGCGAAGGGACCAGAAACACCAACAGTGCCTTTCTCTAGCTATTGGTACTTGATTGGACTTGGAGTCTTAACAGTCTTTCTTGTCGCTTCCACAACCTTCATCTACAAGATTGTCAAGAAAAACCAGGCAAAAGTCAGTAATTTGGACACTAAGCTTGCCCTGGACACGGTGAGGACGAAGATGGGTGTCAACACCCTCTACAGCACCATACCCCTGGAGGAGGAGGAACCAATGCTGGCTCGAATCCCACGGATTAACAAGGAAGATCTGGTGACTGATAGAGTACTTGGCGCCGGGCAGTTTGGCAAAGTTCTCAAAGGGCGGCTTACCGTAACCGATGAAGATGGAGTTCCTGGAGAGATTGATGTGGCTGTTAAATGTCTGATGCACCCTGAAGATGATAACTCATCAGAAGATTTCCTGAAAGAAGTGGTGATGATGTACCAGCTGGATCATCCTAACGTCGTCAAGTTGCTTGGAATCTGCACTGAGTACGAGCAGTACATGATACTGTCCGAGTTCATGGAGAATGGAAACCTCCGAGACTTCCTGATGAACGGGGAGCCAGTCCTTTCTCTCACTGACAAGCTCTACATTTGCTACCAAGTGGTATGTGGCTTAGAGCACATGGTATCAAGGAACATCGTCCACAGGGATATAGCCGCTAGAAACTGCCTGGTGGGACCTAACATGGTGGTGAAAGTTGCTGACTTTGGTCTCTCTCGCAGCATGTCCATGTCCAACTACTACAAGAAGGTGGGAGGACAGGTGCCGATAAGATGGATGTCTCCAGAGTCGCTTAAGTACGGTAAATATACGCCCGAATCAGATGTGTGGGCTTTCGGAGTTCTGATGTGGGAGGTATACACGGAAGGACATTTCCCGTACAGTGGGTACAGTAATGAGGAAGTGCAAGGGATGCTGGATAGTGGCTTCAAACTGCACGTGCCGCCCCACTGCACTGAGGATGTTAGTGTGTTGATGCAGGCCACATGGGAGACGGATCCAGCCGACAGACCTACTTTCAAAGCAATGAGGACCCGACTCAATCAAATGTTACGCAACTCCGGAATGTCAAACGTCGGGATTTACTCCTCAGCAAGCCCAGATTCTCAGCCCTCTACTTCCGCTCAAGGGGCCCACGATGCTGCCTTGCAGGACTCCGTACTGATGCCAGATAGCAACCTCCGGTCACCCCCTTACCCACGGGACACGATGACACGCGGAGTGTTCTTAAACGGAGAGGGCAGCAGCAGGACGACCTGTTGCATGGGTGAGGAATCTAGCTCGGGTACCATAACTAACAATGAGATTTCAACTAACAGATACGTTTCCGAACCTGGCATTGTAACCGTAGAGACAGCTTTGTGAGGCAGCTTTGTGAGACAGCTTTGTGAGGCAGCTTTGTGAGGCAGCTTTGTGAGGCAGCTTTGTGAGACAGCTTTGTGAGACAGCTTTGTGAGGCAGCTTTGTGAGGCAGCTTTGTGAGACAGCTTTGTGAGGTAGCTTTGTGAGGCAGCTTTGTGAGGCAGCTTTGTGAGACAGCTTTGTGAGGCAGCTTTGTGAGGCAGCTTTGTGAGGCAGCTTTGTGAGACAGCTTTGTGAGGCAGCTCTTTGAAACAGGGGAGCCAGGATTGCAACAAATCTATGTAAGAGTGAAGCACGACTGAGATTGCAGGCCATAGGACTTGGAATGGAAACAGAGACAGACGGATGGTAGGCTTGACTAGTACCATTGACTTATTTGACTAAGAATATTTATTGCTTCATTTTTCTGAGTGTTTAATTGGTTCCAAAATTATTGCGTTTAAATTATTCCATTACTTTATTTGTTTATCGAAGCTATTTAAGTCGTTGTTATTTATTTTTATTTGATTAGTATTTGACTTAAATGGATATTGAAATTTCGTTAATTGCTTCAGAAGAACGGTTGAATGTCATGGCTATTTTTGCACAAAAGTGATGAAATAAGTTTTACAAACTACTTGATACAGTCTGGTATTTGTTCAAGATAGTAATCATGCACGAATCATGTCTATATTAGTATTTTAAGAACAACCGTACAAAGTAAACCTTAGTAGTACTAATTACATAAATTTAGAATAAAGTAGACAGCAGTATTAACTGCTTACTGTATGTGAGATTATTGATAAAGAGCCAGATATAGTGATCAGTTATCGATTTCATATCATAAACCCAAAGTTAGAACTTCAAATGTGCAGATTTCAGACTGCAGCGTTGATCTTGTTGACATTTGCCCGTTGGGTTTAATTATCTCTTAAGATTGATAAAATCAGTGATTCAAAGAAAACAGACTGAACCGTATGAATATTATTGACGGCATGTTTTATAATTTACGAAATTGATGAGAGCTGTGGAAATCATATGACAATAACGTTATTTAATTTTACCTGTTTGATTGCTTGTTTCCTTGAGTTCAAATATTTTCACAAACCAATTGTTGAGCGTAAGCTCATGACTAATGACCGATAAGGTGATACATGTATGAGCCAACTCGAAATATGATGAGTTTTTTGCCGAGTCTGGACAAATTGAGAGTAAATTGATCTAAGAGTAAGAATTTTCCGACTTACATGAGGGATCGGAGTATAATCTTCTGGCCCTTGGAGAGTTCCATCTCATCAAGAAAGTCTACCGGAGTGTTCCTAAGTGATGATATCCTCTTAATATTGTAGGAGAGTAGGGTGAAGACAGTGTCGTCACTCAGTCCGTGTGCGCGGCTCCACTCAAAAAACTTTCGTTCTCTGTGGTCCTGTTTCTCAAACGTCTGCTCTGCTCTCCTGGAAATATGGGATATTAAAGTTATAGATTTAACCTTGCTTGTCAGTACTGGTATACATGCAAATAACCTGCCTAATCAATATGTTGATTTATCTAATTATTCTTTAAAAATACAAGTCACATCCTCATTGAGGGGTATACAAAATTAAACCTGTAAGGTTTGTTAATCTCAGTGTCGTCCCACTCTTGGTAGTCTACTCCACACATCTCCAGCCATGTTGTCAGTGTTGCTATGGGAACTGTCTTACCACACGTGTTACATGATGCTTCTTCTGATTGCGTTGTCAAGGATATTGGATGAAACATGCTCCTGTGTGCGGTGCGGTTAGAAATGGCCTCATGATAGAAAAGATTGGAGTTCCTTCAAGTTCGATGAAGTTTATTGTGCGAGACTAGCAAATCCATGGTGTTCATAAAATTCATCAACATTTTCATCAACATAGAGATAACATTACTACTTAAAGAACTTGGAAGTTTTATTGATTTGAGTTAAAACCCGACTGAAAATTAAACTGCCTTTTTTAGTTATGAAGCCACTCATCAGTTCAAAAGACAGATGTTTGATGTGTTGAAAGTTTATCAGGTGTAGTACAAGTAAGTAAGTTGCTACACGTTTCATATCCCTTTCGAGCGTGAGAAGAGAAATGCAACGTGTGTCAACAGTCTAGCAGTTAGCAGTTGTTGTGTGTTGTGGCGTTGAGCTGCTAAACATACTTAACATAATTAACATAATTAACATTCATTAGCTGGTGCAGTTATTTCATGTTATTCTCAGTTCCGTAAGTAAGTTATAGTTATAGTGTAAGAACAAGTCACAAGAGGATTTTCTTAGTTTATTCCGGCTAATACTGAGTGTGCGTTAAACGAGTAAGCTAAAAAGTCTTGGTTAAGAAATCAGCTTTCAGGCTGAGTCTACGCATTACATTGAATCGATCTGGCCTCTATTATAAAAATACAAATGAGGCATTACATTGATCAACAAGCTTTTAACAATAGCAGTAGAATCAGCATCAACAGGACACGAAAGGTACCCTGTAAGCAATATAGTATATACACCACACATAATTCGTTATACACCTTTGATATTGATGCCTCTTTAATAACCGAAAGCTGTCAAATATATCGATAGTCTAATATAGCACACATTTAAGTCGAACAAACGGCAGAGCTTGTCGATAAAGATAGTGTTATACTTATAGCGAAATGTAGATGTAGGATCGTGACGCACTTCCCGTCCATTATCATCGCCTAGGTATCGCTCCCTTAAGTTCTTTAACTGCGGCGGTCACCAGAATTTAAACTCGAATGTCTGGCTTTTTGCTGGTTTTTATTCGGAAACCAGGTAATAAATGGGTGACGATATTACTAAAATAAGTAGATAATATTGGTCAGTGTAAAATAAGTTGCGAACCTATGTTGAGGGGGTTTGTAAATGCTGATAAGATAGAAATCTCATTAATAATGTTCGAGCTGATATTACAATAGTTTATCATAGTAGTATCGTTATATCAGCGGTCATTATTAACCGGATTTCTATCTAATCAGTATTCACAAACCTTCCTCTACTATATTATAATATTAGTAAACTAACAAATGTAGTTCCATTCTCTAGAGAAGGTTCGTTATAATTTTTGTTCCATTTTATTTGTGCGCTAGTGTTGTTGTGCTTAGCTTAGCCAAAGCTTGTTATGCTATGTGTGATAAGTGATGTCGTACATTGCTTGTACTTTCTCATTGAATAGAAAACTCTCGGGATCATCAAACTTAGGCCAAATATGTATATATACAGGGTGGGCCAAAAGTCAGTGTGCAAACGTTGGGTTTGAAAATTCGAATATTTTAGACCACGCCCATTCAATATTTAAACACCTATATTGTTTTCTCTGACATGAGGCAAAACGGATTAGAAATGACGAAGTTATCAAGCATTTTGTGTATCTCGTTAACAAAATTGACTGGGTGATTATGTGACACCGTGACACGACACCTTAATTGGTTAAGGTGTCGGTCAATAATATTTAGCTTGATCCGACTATCCAAACTATCAAATAAATGTGAAAATGAACCTCCAATTGAAAAAAATGAACGCGAATATTTTTCGAGTTGACAAATTCCTCGAACCAGTGGTGGTACTAAGTCATACCAGAAGGAAGTATTTCAATTGGGCACTCAGTGACTGAGCTATTAAGGCCAACGTTTGCACACTGACTTTTGGCCCACCCTGTAGTTAAGTTGCCCTTATTTTTATAAAATTTAAAAATTTAAATAAATTTCACGTGAATGTATTACAATTACATTCACACAAGACCAAAACATCTACAATGAGGCAACAACATGATTTATTATAAGGCTAGGAAAATATTTAATAAAACTCAACACTACGGCTGGGGTGGGAAAATGTAAATAAAACATTGGTAAATCTATTTCGGCTGAATCAAAACACGGCGGTTAAACCATAATGACATTGGTGCCGACCCTACATAAAATACAGACTTAAAATCATTAATTAATTATAAGGAAATTAATGAAAAATGTATACGATACCTTCAGACTGCTAGTACTACACTCCACAGATATATAAAACATAACAACAATAAAAATAATATAATGAATTAGATAGTAAATAAAATAGATAGTAAATATATTCCCAGATAGTCATTTCTAATCAGGCCAGCATACGTCAGAAGACCACCGAAATTTAGTTAGCTTTGCTTTGAAAATGGAAAATTTTTCGATCTGTCTGACTCAAGCTGGCAATGCATTCCACAGAAGCACTGTTCCATATTAGAGAAGCTGTTTTAAACTATTCTGTATCAAAGAGCAGGAATATGTGCTGGTATTAAGTATTTGAACAACTGACGCCGAACCTCATTGCTCCAGCCTCAACAATAGTAATACAACTAGAGAGATACATACTAAATCATTTACTATTTTGTAGAAAAGCGTAATGGCAGTACTAATATCCGATTGGGAGTGTTTTAAGCTCTATCTGCTTCTCATGAAATACAACATCATTATATAATGATCAAACTGTTGTCCACCCTTTTCTAGATAACTTCAAACTACGACAGGTGTGTTGTACAGTGACACCACAAAATGACTGAGTAATTTTCAAATATTGATCTTATAATGGACAGATAGAGTTGTCTCTTCTGGCGCTTATCAATAGTAAAATGACACGTCCTCATTAAGAGCAATGTACAATGTGTACCCCACAGAAACCTGTTGGTCATTACTACACCGAGGTCAGTATGGGCCGATGCCACGTTATCAATTAGGACTTCATTGAGATTATACCAATAAAATGAAGATTGTCTAAGGCGTATTTCTTGGCAGAGTTACAGATAACACGTTACACTTGGAAGGGTTGAAAGTTGTTTTGTTTTCAATTGACCAGGCAAACAACCTGTCTATATCTCCTTGGTGGTCTTCAAAACATTCGATTACCGCCCATATTTTGGTGTCATCTGCATACAATGCTACATTTGTACCCTCAGAAAACATAAATAGAACAAACAGAAGAGGCCGGAGGCCCCACTCCCCAGGATAGATCAATATCAAAATACACAATGTCGGATCTTGTCTTTTGTTGAGTGCCATCTGAGTAGCGCAAGACTTCCCATAAACTTAAACTTCGACTAACGAAGTTGCTGTTACGATAGACGATTAAAGATATATGTTCTTTACGCTTAAGAATAAGATAAGCTCAAATAACATATACTGGTTAATCTGATTTGCATCTATAATGGGTAGAATTCTGTAAGTAAAAACAATCCCGAAGACATGCCGCCTACCTAGAATGGTATCTCACAGACCGAGTAATTTGTTAATAAGTTGACTACAGAAGAAAATTTTGTTATCTTGATGTTGGTTGGCTCTGAAGACGGTCACATGGCCGAGCAGTAAACCAATGAAAACTCCGTGGTAAATCAGGTGAACATATCCTAAGTGTCAAGTTCATTTAATCAATGATTTTGCTTTGAACTATACTAAACAAAAAGTGTCAAAATGTGACAAAATAACAGTACAACAACGCTCACAATATAATTCATGAAAGACCACTTGTCGTCTGCTCAGGGCCATTCGGCAGTTCTTTTAGCGCCTTTTAGTGAAGCATACCACGTGAGAATGAGGTGTCAACTGAGAAATATTTGTCTGGAAAGAAGGCTAAAACTGCACTGAGTACTCCGAGCTGAGGCACAAATGATCTGTTGGGATGAAAAGTATAATGCTCTGTACTTCGACAATCCTGCTTCTAGGCGTCAATATCAGGTTTCACGTCTGAGTGATTATAGTCTTAACCGCCCTGGTAACCACTGCCCTGGTAACCACTGCCCTGGTAACCACTGTCATGGTAACTACTACCCTGGTAACCACTGCCCTGGTAACCACTGCCCTGGTAACCACTGCCCTGGTAACCACTGCCCTGGTAACCTTTGCCCTGGTAACCACTGCCCTGGTAACCACTGCCCTGGTAACCTTTGCCCTGGTAACCTTTGCCCTGGTAACCACTGCCCTGGTAACCACTGCCCTGGTAACCACTGCCCTGGTAACCACTGCCCTGGTAACCACTGCCCTGGTAACCACTGCCCTGGCAACCACTGCCCTGGTAACCACTGCCCTTGTAACCACAGAGCCGTTTTCTCCAGAAATGTCGACAATATTTGTGAGAATTTTACAAAAAAAGCCAACTCAATTATATTCATGAACAGTCAGTACAGGCTGAAGACACAAATGCTTGATAGAGCTAACGATCTGATTATAAATTGAATAGCACGGAAGTATTAATATATAATTGCGATAATAATTGTCGCAGCAATAATAATTGTCGCAGCAATTTATTCTCTTTCGTGTTAACAGTTAAATATTACTTGTAAAGGAGCGAATGCTGACATCACTTAAAGACTTAAGCTTTAGTTTCTGTCTGTAAACTTCGGCCTATAAAGCCAGGGCAACGTATATTTATCTTCATCCGTCAATTGAAAGGATCGTTAAAAGGTTGATTGAAAGAACAATACCATATTTGGTTACCACATTTGGTTACCACAAGCTATAGATTCTACTTTAAGTTTTACTTTTAAAGTCATTATTATAACATTTACAACCTCCATTTATATTGTTTAATCATCATTTAAACCGTAATCTTTCATCCAAACATTTAACCAATCTTTCAATCGACCAACACAGGTACTTGTAGTTGTACAATGTAATTGCAACGAAAAAGCTTTGTTTAAAAATGATAGCCAAATACTTTACCAAATGTTGCAAAAAGCTTTAAAAACTGTAGCAGACTATGTCATAGGTTA